GATATTTGTTTTCAAATTAAAATAAATAACATTAGTGTTGCTAACTAGGTTAAATTGAGCAGGTGGGCAAAACATTCCTTTATTTTAAAGAGAAAATTTTTAAAATCTTCATAACAAAACTACTAATAATCTATACAACTGTATAATGACACGGCTTTGCTAAGTAGGGGACGCTTGACTGCTCGAATGTCTTGATTTTGATCTCGGTTCAGACCTGTGACTGAAGTTCACTCAGCTCTGATGGGTACCCGAAAGACGTTTGGGCTTAAAATAGCCCACACTATCCCATCATATGCAGAGGTCAAGAAACATGTGAACACTACTTCATCAGCCTTATGAACCTTTAAATCTAAAAGATGAGCTTAACTTTTTCCCCCAATAAAACTGCATCCTTATATTATGAAAGTGTATACCTAGTGAAGAGAAGGAAGGGTCTATGACATATGGGACTTTAAAGTCCCAGTTGATTGTTCTGTTGAAGACGGCACGTTTGTTCAAGATGAACTCCGGCTCATCTGATTGCAATTCCGGTACGGGCTCCTCAGGCCTGCAGAGAAAGGAAATAACGGATTAAATACAAAGTAAATCATTTCCGAATTGTATTTGAATAAAACATAATTACAATCATCAATGGACACAGAAGACGAAATGTAAAAAAAATACATACATATATGCATATATATATATATATATATATATATATATATATATATATATATATATATATATATATATATATATATATATATATATATATATATATATTTATATATATATATATATATATTTATATATATATATATATATATATATATATATATATATATATATATATATATATATATATATACCATAAAGATTATAATTTAATACTAATTGTTATATACTTATGGAAAGTGCCGAGAGTATGATTTACGCCAGGCACACTCTGAATAAAAAGAATAAAAAAGAAAATTAAGTTAACGTTAAGACCACAAAATACGTCATTGTTCTTCTACATTTAACAAAACTTTATTTATTTCAGTATATATTTTTCTATTTACTGGAGCCCTTCTAAAAACAAACTTATCGTAAACTGCATTTTACGGTTTCACCTTGTTTAATTTGACTTGCATAAGCGATGGAAACGAAGGAAGAGTGTGCACAAGTAGAATAAAGAAAGCGTATGCATGCATCATTCTGTGAAGACAAAAAAAATTATATTTTGATACTCTTCATCTAGAAAGATGTTTATATTTTGTTATATTTGGACTTCATACTATTGATTGTTTAGTTTGTTCCTAAACATTTTAGTTAAAAAATTTATAAACCAGCGTTACTATAAAAAATAATCATATATATAATTTATCTTGTTTTAATTCATAGCTTTTAAATATTTTTGTTTACAATAAGAAGTTTAACGCGAGACTTAAATAATTAATAACTTACTTTTCCAGAAGATTTTAATTCCTGATAAGTGATAAGTTGGGTGATCTCGCTTGTCTTGTGCCCAATGCAAAACAACTCCAGATTATATTTACAAAATCTGTCTTTGAAAACACGGTTAATTAACAGACATTTCTGAAAAAAATTTGTATCATAACATATTTATATATTTTTATGAATAACGGACTGGTACTTATTATATTCATTTATATAAATTAACGAAATACAAAAGAAATATACAAACATATCTTGAAACATTTTTCAATAAGAGCTCGTATTGTTATATTGTTAAATTCGTTATATTAATTTACAAAAATGTAAAGATTTCAATCCAGAAGCGTTTGTCTGACTCTTTTCATGTAGCCTACGTAGTTAATACCTTTATAAAATGCAATATACTCTATATGGAAAACAATATATTTCGATATTAATATATAGTTTTAGAATTTTTGTAATTTATAACCGTAATTGGCTCTTTGATCTAGGTTGTTCGTTCTGTCTGTCTTCGATCTGACATGAACCTAGGAAAACTGAGCACAGGATAATAGAAAGAAAAAATTGATAAGCAACTGTCCCAGATTAGGTGCTATTTATGAATCGTGTTTACAATTTTAAATCGAGGTCTTTGTGAATATCTATATTATAGCTGTCTTATCAGTTCATTTTTACCACATATTTTAAAGATAAAACAGCAAACCGTTTATGTGCACTGATTTAACTGCTTGAATTTAATGCAGGATAAGCTAAAAGCAGATTTCGCGGCTCTTCTTCTTTTTTTTTCATTCTAGCATAATATGGCCAACTAACATAACAAAGTATTACGTCTCAATTTATGCGACATATAGGCCGTAGACTTTAATTTCAGCCTGCTATTTTGTTTGGGTTTGCTTCCATAGCCTTTGTCCAACCAAGAACAAACTACAAGACAGCAGTTGCTTCTAAAAGAATAGCTGTCCACAGCTGTCGAGCCTCATTTACCCGAGGATTTAAACACGAGACTTACCGGTTTAGCAGCCATGAGCTTTACCGACTCGACCACGCAGACTCCTAATGGCACTGCTAAGTCTCTGGCTGAAAATTTTAATCGAGATCTTGTGACTACTACACGTTAGTGTAGTACGAGAACATCAGACTGTGCCTTACTCTATGACGCAGTGAAATTTCTTTATTGATTCTCTGCTTAGCTGTAAGAGTAACATAATTCAACAATCTCAGGTTATCTATTATTGTTAACTCACAAATGTAATTGAGGATATAAACTAGAAGTGAATAGAAGTCATTAAGTGATGCGATGCTGAGGGTTTAAATAAAGCAACAATTTTCTCTTGGTTTCACATGTTTAAAGCGCTGTGTTGGGTTAGTGAATTGTTCCATTTTTCTTACTTTCAAACAGCGAATGGTTATACCAATATAGTATGATAGTCGTATTTTACACAGTGTAGCTTGATTTTAACTAGTAAAAGCATATAAATAATGCCAACAAAAATATTTAAAGGACCATCAATAAAGCAGAATGACTGTTAGAAAAAACTCAATGTTCCACATTAGTAGTTCAACATATACGTATTCTGTATTTCAATCCGTGTTATTTTACTCTAATTATTAATAATATTGTGTCAAATGTAATCGCATTTTATCATATTGCATTTCTTGTTATTACTATAAGAAATATATTGAAAGTGTAATAGAATAAGCACACTGCCCACTTTATACTATAATCATCTGTTATGATTATTACATGTTATTTTGACTAACACCACTATCAGATTTTTCTGCTTCATATGCTACAAATGTGCACTGTCTAGCAACATGCACAAACATTTCCACACCTCGTGACATCAAGAGCACAAATAATATTCATTTTGTGAACACATTCTCTAAAATATAACTGTTCTAATTATTTTCTGATAAACTGCTTTGTCTTTGTTAAATTCTTCACTTTCTCTTCATTTGTATGTAACTGTGAGTGAAAATCTATTAATATATCCATACAGTACTAGTCCTGAGACATGCAATTAATTAAAAAAATTTTACAAAAAAATCAATACTTTGAGCGTGCGTCGTGTCGTTATTACGAACATATTCCTTTAATCCTATTCTGTTATTATCTCATGTATTTTGACAATATCAAAGACCATAGTCAAATCACTTTAAATAACGCCAGTTCAGTCCCTTTTGTGAGACTAAGTAAAAAGACAGTGAAACATACGTCTGTCCCACCCTATATATTATTGATTGAAACAAATGACGTGGACAAACTTGTGCTAGGTAATATTACATTAACCCGGGACAGCGTGGTCGGAAGGTAGTACGCACAATATTTAAGTACATTGAAGGAAAACTAATAAAAAAAATCAAATGCTACTTCTTCTTCTTCTTCGTTCTTAATTATTAGTGTTGAAAGGGATCGAGATTTATCTGCCAGTGGGTTTGAACTCGAGACTGTTCGAATGTATCAACCATGAGCCTTTTGCCGACTTGACCACGCCTCCAACACAATAAAGCGTTACGTGTCAAATGGTTTTGCGCCATTGAGGCCATTGACTCCGATTTCAGCCTGCTTTTTCTTTTTGGATTTGCTTCCATAGCCTTTGTCCAACCAAGAACAAACTACAAGGCAGCAGTTGTTTAATTTTGGAGTTGTCTCTCCTAGAAGAGTGGCTGTCCCCAGCTAACGAGCCTCATCTGCCCGAGGGTTCAAATGCTACTGATTTATATAATCAGACTAAGGATATATATGTTGTCGTATGTGTACAGGTATTTATGTCGGTGATTTTCTTACAGTAGTAAATTTAGCAGCTTTTTATCTCTATTGGACAGCTTTTATCATATTACACAACAAGGGCAAGCTGTTATTTATTTTAGACAACAATGGCAAGCATTCACACATTGGACACACAGAGGCTTTTGCCTATTTGAGAAAACGAGACAACGTGGATTAGGTTTCAACAATTGGGGACAACGTGGATTAGGTTTCAACAATTGGAGACAACGAGACAACGTGGATTAGGTTTCAACAATTGGAGACAACGTGGATTTGGTTTCAACAATTGGAGACAACGAGACAACGTGGATTATGTTTTAACAATTGTAGACAACGTGGATTAGGTTTCAACAATTGGAGACAACGAGACAACGTGGATTATGTTTTAACAATTGTAGACAACGAGACAACGTGGATTATGTTTTAACAATTGTAGACAACGTGGATTAGGTTTCAACAATTGGAGACAACGTGGATTAGGTTTCAACAATTGGAGACAACGAGACAACGTGGATTAGGTTTCAACAATTGGCGACAACGTGGATTTGGTTTCAACAATTGGAGACAACGAGACAACGTGGATTATGTTTTAACAATTGTAGACAACGTGGATTAGGTTTCAACAATTGGAGACAACGTGGATTAGGTTTTAACAATTGTAGACAACGTGGATTAGGTTTCAACAATTGAAGACAACGAGACAACGTGGATTAGGTTTCTCCAGCTCAACAAACAAGGGCTGGCTTTCGGTTTTGTACACAAAGTTTCTCGAAACAACGCAAAAACTAATAACTTTTTTCTACTTTTTATTTTCATTTGAAATCAAAATGACACCAAAACAATGTTTACCTCGGCAATTTGAAACAATTTATCAACCACAAAATTAAATTTAAACAATTTTTATTTCTAATTTATCCGTTCTTTCTAACGGTATCATGAAGGACTTTGACCGTACACGACTCACAACTACCAAGACTCGCGATCAGAGACTAACGTAAAACCAAGAGACAGTACGTAGCATGCGGTCGACGAGAAGTTAGCCCTGGCCAGACTGTTAACACCAGCTACGTCCTTGGCTACAGGCAGTATCATGACCTCGCCCTGTCCACTGTTGCAGCTGGTTACACTCAGCGTGTTGGCGTCTGTGCTGAACGCGCCGACCACGTCGTTCTGTTTGACTAGGATCTGACGCTTGAATGGTATTTCCGCAGTCTGTTTTGAGTCCGCTGCACACGTTACTGTGTTGAGGCCTACCAGATTGTATTTAGTTCTGAGAAATTAAAAAAATAACAATAATATTTACGTAAATTTAAAAGTAAGTTATTGTCTAATATTAATAATAAAGTTTCGAAAACGAGACGAGAAAAATATTGTAAGACAGTTTTTGCTTATTAAGTAATCTTCTGTAACATACTAACCGCATCGATGATGAGGTTTTAGCTTCTACTCTTTAACTACACTTTACTAAGAATGTGACTTTTCCATTTTTTCCTAGTATGTGATGGTGGGTGTTTTAAGAACATACTGAATTAGCTTCCTATAAAATCAAGCATGATAATGAACTGATCATGGTTTCGGAGAAAAAGTATGAGGATTTCAAGACGATTTTTTCGACGTTGGGTGGTTGGCTGAGTATGGTAAACTTATCTGATCTTAACTCTGTTTAATTTATTAAAAAACATTCAATTTCTCTATGCCACCAGAATAGGGTACTCTAACTATTTGGAGTGACACATTAGTTCTCAAATATTTACCCGATTTTCCTGAAAACGCTCAAATGGAGAGAACCGGAAGTATTGCAGTAGTAGCGCCATATTGATATCAAGCCGGGAAATGGCATTCTTGTTTTAAATAAAGAAAAAACACACATTTAAAGATCAGTTTTATCTTGTTGATTTTTAAGATACACACAATATTATAACTAAAGTATCATCATCATCGTTTCCCTTTCGTGCTCAAGACACATGAGGCAGATGAAGTAGAGTTAATCTGCTTCATAAACCTCGGAATATGAACCGATAGAGTTGCCAACACTATTCCCAGCCGCCTTTACATTCCCTAACGTGAGGTAGGTACCAATCAGACCTGGGTGTACTCAGGGACGTTCCACTGATTTGAACCCACAATCGAACTCGAAACTCTCGAGTTAGCAGTCTAGCTTTCTACTGCTATGCCTCACCGTCCAACATAGTACGTAAAGATGATTTTAAAAAAACAACAACTTAAACATTAATTTCTAAATAGCATGCACGTTTGAGATGTTAAACGCAGATTCGCAAGCAACCTGTAGCCATCATTGTCCATGACGACGACTGTGTTTACTGGAAGCACATCCGGTCTTCTCTTCACTAAATTCACGTTGATGTTATAGTCGAATAAAGGAACTCCTGTAATGAAGTATTGGAATAACATATTGGAATGTCATTCATCCAACGAATAGGAAAATAAAAAAAAATGTTTATACTTCTCAGAAATATGTATATGAGTTTACTACGGATGGAATTATGTGGTTAAAAGAAATCACTCAATTTAAAATACGTATTATGATCAGTAGAAATAATGGTTGAAATATTACTGCAACATAACTACGCTGGGGACTAGACATAAAGCACTAGCAGTAACATATTTTGTCATGATTATGACAGTGAGTATTTCAAGCTAGTGCTTCAGGGTACAATGTTAGTAACAACGACGAATTTTTTTATGATCACTATGACAATAAATGGATTTTTCTACGTGGGGCTTTAGAATAGATTTTGTTAGCGTGAATACATGGAGCAAAAGCGTTAAGAACTAAAGGAACTAGACTTTTATTTAACTTTTTTATTAAAAATACTAGACTATTCGGAGTTACTAAAAGTGTATTTGTTAATTAATAAAAAAAACATGTACCTAGACAGTATGGTATTTGACACGACCCTCTGGTATGTCTCTCTGACTTGATGCTAAGGTTGGCATTCTCGCCATAGGTCTCCAACTGATATGGCTTAATAGTAGCTGAAACATACACATGTATATATTGTGACCTACTTAGGTCTAATAATGTTTTATTTTGTCATTGTGTTAATACCATATATGGATTGATGGTGCAACAACCGGGTTTTTTCCACTGTCTTACTAAGAGTGTCTAAGACGTAGAAATTTTCCATCAAGATCTGATTGATTGATTCAGACCAGATGACCACACCAACCAATGGCCACATGAGTTGAGGGTAACCTCCCCTGTTGCCTAAGTCTTTAACTAGATCGCCCACAGGCGACACGAGGCAGTCCACCTTGATCAAGCGGTCCATTATGACCAGGCCGTCCATTTTGTCCGGCAGTAGATTCTGACTATTTGAACGTGAGAGAGCTTAAGTCCTGAGTGTGCTATGCATTCCTGAGTTGTTAAAGTGTTCTAATATTATATTACTTGTCGCCAAGTGATTTCTTGATGCTATAGCAGTGTTATGTGACCTGTGGCTATTTTTATACAGTGTTAGAATCTGTGATAGTATTTTTTCTTACGCTTTGTAAGTTGGGTTTTGTTATTTTCTAAATTAAATATTTTATCTTGTTTAACCTAGTGTTCTGCCACAACTGTGTTCGCTTATTAAAGGTTGTATGCATATTGAATGAGTTGTTAACTTCAATAGTATCACTAGTTTTCCCTAGACATCGAAATCGAGCCCTAGTGTGTTGTTGAGTTAGTGTTCATTCATTTAGGCTTTAAGTCATTTGCATATAACCCCAAGAAAGAATCCGGGGGCGTTCACCATCTATCTGGCTGGTAGATAGGTGTCCGTTACAAAGTGGGGTCTCGCCGGCATTTAATCTGTCGTTCTAGTTGTTGGTTGTATCAGTTAAACACTAAGTTTAGTTTGATTTAGTTGTTTTTCTATCCAGTGGCGCCGTGTTATTACAACGCGCGCAAGGCTAGAGGTATCTAGGTCAAAAGCCAGACGTGTCACGATAGGAGGTCAAGCTCATAACACAGCGTTGGGCCGTGTTAATTTAGAGAATCTAGGCTTGTTGTGATTTTGAAGTTAGTGTTATGGAGTCTTTCTTGGCTAATCCCACCGTTGAGGAGGTAGAGAAGTTGAGTAGAAAAGTTTTGATTAGTGTTGTTAAGGAATTGAAATTGGATTATTCTGTTACGCAGAAATCAGAGGTGTTGAGAGATAAAATTGTTGTTCATTTTATTAATGAAGGGGTATTTGATGAAAGTTTGTTGGCTGGGGTGTTACTCCGTGAGGAGAAACCTCTAGAGAAGGTAGAATTAGAAGCTAAAATTGCTTTAGAGAAGGAGAAAGTTGCTTTAGAGAAACAGGAGTTAGAGGCTAAAATTGCTTTAGATAAGAGGAGGTTGGAATTAGAATTTGGTCAAGTTAGTGGAGACGTTACTTCTCTGGTAGATCCAAAAAAGTTGTCGGTGGGGCAAGTAATTGCCAAATTTGGGAAATTAGTTCCTAAATTTGATGAAACAGATTTGGTCGTTTTCTTTAACTCATTTGAGAGTTTAGCGAAGACATGTAAATGGCCCGAAACTTCCATTACTGCTTTATTGAGCACGGTCCTTACAGGGAAAGCTGCAAAAACATACCAGGCACTCTCTCACGACGTTCAAAATAACTATAGTTTGGTCAAGACTGCCATTTTGAAGGCCTACGAACTGACGCCCGAGGCCTATCGGATAAAATTCCGAGCACTCCGCAAGTTACCCACTCAATCATATGTGGAATTTCTCTTTGAAAAAGAGAAAATTTTCTCAAGGTGGCAACACTCTGAGGAAGTTTCTGAGTTTGAGAAACTCAGGTCACTTATCCTAAGGGAAGAATTCCTAAAGTCCCTGCCTGAAGACATACGACTACACATACTGGATAACAAGATAATTGACATCCAGAAGGCTGCTGAGTCGGCTGACACATATATGTTGGTGCATAAGAAACCACCAGTGTCAGGAAACCGCCTCAACCCCGTGCTTCCCCTTTTTGGCAGCAATCCTCCTGTTGGCCAACACTTGAAGGCATTACAGTCCAGAGAGAAACCAAGATCAACTCTCAATCGTCGAGCAGTATGCCAGTTCTGCAAAAGACCTGGTCACCATGTCAAGGACTGCTACAAACGTCTTCAATTTAACAGAGAGGCGGTGCGTACTTCTGCGCACTATGCTCTATCCCCTCAAGCCGCCGGTTCAAATATGAACTCTAGAATTCTAAGGGACGCTAACCCTAAGTGTCCGCAAGAAGGCAGTCAAGTCTCCACACATTATGTGCAATCACATTTTGATTGTTCTCGCCACCATCCAATTTCTTCCGAGTCTACCGATCTCGAGGGATCGAGAAAGGTTGACTTTTCATCTTTCATTACAGAAGCTATCATTAGCAAACCAGGTGATCCGTTGTCTCAGCAGAATATCACCGTCCTAAGAGACACAGGAGCGTCACAGTCACTTCTTTTGAAAAGTTCAATGGACATTACACCGGAGACGAACAACGGAAATGTTTCCATTATCCAGGGAGTGGGGACAAAATCTACTGTAGTCCCTCTACACAAGTTTGCCCTGAAACATCATCTCGTCGAAGGCGAAGTCATTTTAGGTGTGATAGATAGTATTCCTGTCCCAGGAGTACACCTACTTCTAGGGAATGACCTTGCGGGAAGCAAAGTATACCCCTGTACGGTTCAGAACCCTTTGTCAACAGTTCCAGATAATGATAATGAACTGTATCCTGCATGTGTGGTGACAAGAAGCCAGACCAAACAATTGGCTGACACAACGTCTGAACCACACCTACCATCATCGTCAAGAAATTCGACTCCCAAACTGGAGTCTATGCTTCCAGAGAACCCAAGCCTGGGCTTACCCCTGAGGATATCTCAGGAAGACATCATTAAAGCTCAACAAGTCGACGCGGAACTCAAAGCAATGGTCGAAAAATCTCTCTCATCTGACGATGGGGAGTATTTCTCCGAGAACGGCCTCTTCTTTCGTCGCTCTGTACCAGTGGATGCCTCACCAGCCGAACCATGGTTGGGTAAAAACCAGCTGTGGGTCCCTCCACCTTATCGGCATGAAATACTGAAACTGGCACATGACCATCCAATGTCAGCGCACCCAGGAGTCACTAAAACAGTGGCGAAGATCAAAGAACTGTTCTTTTGGCCCAAAATGAGAAATGATGTGTCGCGTTACTGCAAAAGTTGCACGAACTGTCAGTTGGCCGGAAAGCCAAACCAGAAAATTCCTAAGGCCCCTTTGAGTCCGATTCCTGTATTAGAATAACCCTTTTCTAAAATCGTCATGGACTGTGTAGGTCCCTTGCCTAAAACCAAGGCGGGCAACGAGTACCTACTTACCTTTATGTGTTCAAGTACCCGTTTTCCCGAGGCGTTCCCCTTACGGAACATTAAGGCAAAGACTGTAGTCAGAGCCATGACCCGGTTCTTCACTACCTTTGGATTACCTAGAATCGTTCAAACAGATCAAGGCAGCAACTTCACCAGTCACCATTTTCAGGAAGCGCTAGCCAAGCTAGGCGTTACCCACATCACCAGTTCAGCCTACCACCCTCAGTCTCAAGGCGTACTTGAGAGGTTCCACCAGACCCTAAAAACCATGCTAAGAACATTCGCTAAAAGTAACACCCAATGGGATGAGACTGTTCCTTGGATTATTTTCGCCGCGAGGGACTGTGTCCAAGAAGCTTTAGGTTACTCTCCTTTTCAACTTGTGTTTGTACATTCTGTCCGTGGTCCCCTGAAGCTGATCCACGAACGGTGGACAGGCACCAGTGATCATCCAGTGGAAAACTTTGACGATTTTCACGTTCGACTGAAAGCCGTGTGCGAGATGGCTCACAAGAACTTAAGAAAGGCCCAAGTGAGAATGAAAGGACTGTATGATAAGAGTTCTCGTAAACGAACATTCAATCCAGGCGAGAAGGTTCTTGTGCTAGTGCCTAATCTGAACAATGCGTTATCCTTAAGATATTGTGGACCCTTTACTGTGCATTCAAAATTAAGTGATTTGAACTATGTTGTCAATACGCCCGAATGAAGAAAGAAACAGACAGTGTATCATGTTAACTCACTGAAAAAGTATTATGATAATTGTAACAATTTTCATTCCACAGCTAAAATTACTTTACCTGTATGTTCAAATGTTTCTGATGATGTGATACATGATAAATTGAAACCCCCAAAATTGGTAAATTCTTCCTTTTTAGATCATCTAAATGACCACCTTATGCATTTGTCCACAGAGGAAAGCCATAAATTGTCTCAGTTATTTGAGACATTTCCCTCTATTTTTGGGGATGTCCCCAAAGAAGCGAAGGTACCACCTCATGATGTAGACGTAGGTGATGCAAAACCCATTAAACAACACCCCTATAGAGTTAACCCGGAAAAAGCTGTTTTGATAAAAGATGAAATTGATTATATGCTCAAGAATGATATCATTGAACCCAGTTTCAGCAACTGGAGTTCCCCATGTCTTCTAGTCCCGAAAGACGGTGGATCTTTCAGGTTTGTGACCGACTTTAGGAAGGTAAATGCGCTCACCAAAGCTGATTCCTATCCATTACCTCGAATAGAAGACGTTATTGATAAAGTTTTTCACGCTAAGATAATTTCCAAAATTGATTTACTTTCAGGATACTGGCAAATCCCCTTATCTGACCGTGCAAAAGAAATATCTGCTTTTGTAACCCCTAATGGTTTTTATAGATACAAACGTATGCCCTTTGGTATGCGAAATGCTGGTCAAACTTTCCAGCGGGTCATTAACTCTGTCATTGCTGACATAGACCAATGTGAGGCCTACATAGATGATATAGTTGTATTTTCTAATACTTTTGAAGAACATATTGTTCAGTTGACTAACCTTTTTAGAAAATTGTCTGAAGTTAATTTTACTGTAAACCTGCATAAAAGTGATTTCTGTAAAGGTTCAATTACCTATTTGGGTTATCAAGTGGGAACGAACCAAGTTAGGCCCATTGAAGCTAAAGTAGATGCTATTGTAAAGTTGCCTCCTCCCAAAAATTGTAAAGAAATCAAAAAGTTCCTTGGGATGGCTGGTTACTATAGGCGGTTCTGTCAAAACTTTTCAGCTGTTGCTGAACCTCTTACTGCATTATTGAAAAAGGGTGTTGAGTTTGAATGGTCAAATAAATGTCATGAAGCTTTTTTGACCATTAAGTCATTTTTATCTAATGCTCCTGTTATGGCTGCACCAGATTTCAGCAAGCCCTTTAAACTTGCCATTGATGCTAGCCACTTAGCCATTGGCTCAGTCTTATTTCAAGAAGACAACATGGGGATTGACCATCCCATTGCTTTTTTTTTCCAGGAAGTTAAATGAGAACCAAAAGAATTACTCTACTATTGAAAAAGAAGCTTTAGCTTTGGTTTTGTCCTTAAAACATTTTGAAGTCTATGTCACTTCTTCAACCAATCCAGTCAGAGTGTTTTCTGACCATGATCCCCTGAAATTTACCTCTAAGTTAGGACAGAAGAATCAAAGAATATTGAGATGGTGTTTATATTTCCAAAATTTTAATCTGGAAATTTCCCACATTAAGGGTATTGATAATGTTGTGGCTGATTGTTTGTCAAGGATGTAAAATCTTATTACACACACTGATCATGTGACATGTTTTGTGGTTCATTTAGGACCATACACAAGTGTTTTGTTTGGGTGACGCTCACATGAATGTGAGTGGTATGAGTTTTGAATTTTTTTCAAAATGACAATCATGTTGCATATTTTGTTTATTTTCAGGTGAACCTTAATTAAAGGTGGTTTTTGATTATATGTAATCTTTTATAATAATGTGTCTCATATGACTCAGTTGATATTGTAGCTAGTCATTGAAATAAAGGTTTTACCCTGGCGGGTTTACCACTTTTAATATCCACATGGAAATATTGTAATACCCCTATTCTGAGGGATTTTGATGTATAATTATTTTTTTGAAAGGGTTACTCCCCTTTCACAAATTGTAAAAGTTTGAGTTACTTCCCTTTTGTTTCCAGGGATATTTTCATCTGGTATTAAGATTTTGATTGGCTACATTTGTAAAGCATTTTTTTTTATTTCATTTCCAGATTGGTTCCTTATGTATGTTTTTGTGGAACCTATCTGTCACTTCCAAAAAGGGAGTGGATGTGACCTACTTAGGTCTAATAATGTTTTATTTTGTCATTGTGTTAATACCATATATGGATTGATGGTGCAACAACCGGGTTTTTTCCACTGTCTTACTAAGAGTGTCTAAGACGTAGAAATTTTCCATCAAGATCTGATTGATTGATTCAGACCAGATGACCACACCAACCAATGGCCACATGAGTTGAGGGTAACCTCCCCTGTTGCCTAAGTCTTTAACTAGATCGCCCACAGGCGACACGAGGCAGTCCACCTTGATCAAGCGGTCCATTATGACCAGGCCGTCCATTTTGTCCGGCAGTAGATTCTGACTATTTGAACGTGAGAGAGCTTAAGTCCTGAGTGTGCTATGCATTCCTGAGTTGTTAAAGTGTTCTAATATTATATTACTTGTCGCCAAGTGATTTCTTGATGCTATAGCAGTGTTATGTGACCTGTGGCTATTTTTATACAGTGTTAGAATCTGTGATAGTATTTTTTCTTACGCTTTGTAAGTTGGGTTTTGTTATTTTCTAAATTAAATATTTTATCTTGTTTAACCTAGTGTTCTGCCACAACTGTGTTCGCTTATTAAAGGTTGTATGCAGATTGAATGAGTTGTTAACTTCAATAGTATCACTAGTTTTCCCTAGACATCGAAATCGAGCCCTAGTGTGTTGTTGAGTTAGTGTTCATTCATTTAGGCTTTAAGTCATTTGCATATAACCCCAAGAAAGAATCCGGGGGCGTTCACCATCTATCTGGCTGGTAGATAGGTGTCCGTTACAATATATATATATATATATATATATATATATATATATATATATATATATATATATATATATATATATATATATATATATATATATATATATATATATATATTAAGCACAAATTTTTAACTTACTCAACATTATAGATTAATTAATTAACTTACGGGCCGAAGTTTCGTCATCGGAAATATTCCTGCTGATTATTCTGTTGAAATTAGGCAGCTGATTTACCTTGTCTGTTTTAGCATCGTTCAACGGTTTAGATGAAGCTAGAGTGATGACAAGGAAAAAAACGACAATCTGTTTCAGAAGCATCCTGTGGAATAGATACAATAAAAAACTAAAATAGCATTGTAACGTGATGGCCATCTCGGTCTTCACAAAGGATGTATAAATATTTTCATTTTAAATAAGCTTCAGATCAGAGCGCTGGTGGACTATGGATCATAGATTGAGTGGACAGCACAACAAAATCTTTAGTGGTCAGCTGATCGGAGATATAGTGGACTGCCTATTATAGCTGGAGTATACTACAGAACAATTCAGTGGACAAAGGAACAAAATCTTTAGTGGGCAGCTGATATGAGCTGTAGTGGACAGCTGATATGAGCTGTAGTGGACAGCTGATTAGAGCTGTAGTGGACAGCTGATTAGAGATGTAGTGGACAGCTGATTAGAGTTGTAGTGGACAGCTGATTAGAGCTGTAGTGGACAGCTGATTAGAGGTGTAGTGGACAGCTGAATAGAGGTGTAGTGGACAGCTGATTAGAGCTGTAGTGGACAGCTGATTAGAGTTGTAGTGAACAGCTGATTAGAGATATAGGGGACTGCCTAACAAAAGCTTAAGTAGACAGTAGAGGAGGGGTCGGCCAGGTCGAGTCGGAAAAGCTCATGATTGCTAAAAAGAAAGGCAGGCTAAAATCGGAGTCAATGGCCTCAATGGCGCATAACCAGTTGACACGTATACTTAGTTGTGTTGAAGGGGATCCCTTCCAACACAAAAATTTAGAACGCGGAGCAAGAAAAAAGAAGCTCATCGCGAAATAACGATCTCTTTATTTTGGTTGTAGGTAAAGCTTTATAAAAGGACTGCTGCTTAGAGATTAATTTAACTGGACTATAGATCGGAGTTTAAATTTAGTGGATTTAGGCATAAACTAGAACAGGGACTGCTGAAACAGAACTCCACATTTTTATCACAAATTAAACATTAGAAAATGCTGTGAAAACTAGCAATAAGGTTTTCAAACTGAAATATAGAATATAGAATTTTTAAAATTTTCGAATATAAATCGATGCGCTGAAAGAATATCCGCCCCAATGCGTGGACCCCCATCCACTCGCAGCGCAGTAAACTCTGAGGTAATATCCATATCCACACCTTAGCGAAGCAAGGGTATACGCGTTTGTATTTAGTTTTGTTCTGTTCCCAAGTTGGTACATTTAAAAAAGATCCACCGTGGCGGAGCACGGGTATGCCGCTAGTATATATATATATTCTGGGGCTTAATTATAGATTAGCGGGGTGAGGCTCCTATGTTTATTACCTCCACAAGTGTAACATAAAATTAATATCCAAAATTCCTATTTAAACCCACTTGGTAAATACAGCCCGCATTTGGTTCAGTTATAATCTTTGGTTTTCCACTGTTTGGTTCTACTGTAACATGATCATATCGGATAATCTTTTAACCTTTAGTTCTAGTATTTACAACATTATACTAATTCGAATTTGCAATACTATATACGGAAGCCTATGTTACGTTTTTTTGTCTCGTAAACATAAGGTTGCGTTAATTCAAAGTGAGAGCCCGGTAAGAACCAGTAAGTCCCGGGAATCAAATAGAATAATCCCCAAGCTTATGCCTGCTGTAATACTTAAACAAGCAAATATTCAGTTTCAATCGAATTTCGATAATGCGTTTGTACCGTAACATTACTTCACTAATTTACTGCGTGAACTACAGTGGAGCAACTACATAACCTTTGGTGAGGACGGGTGGTGGAATATGTAGAATGGGTATCTTTAGGATTTTTCCCCAGGGGAGGGTGTGTTATGCTAACAGAGATACTAAACTCATGCAGTGGTGCTTCGTTGACGAACATTATTTGTTTTAGGCCATTTATCATGGGCAGAAAAGTGAAACGATTTTCTATTTTTGTCCAGTTTGCTCTACAAACACAGTTTTCTCAATGATTGGCTCACTTTGTCACTGCACCATCAACACCATGTGCTTCCAAGTGGCGCCTACTTTCTGTTTAATGAGCACCCTTAAATAGGGACAAGGTGTCACACGATGTTCGATGATTAAATAAAACCAAGAGTACCCCACGGTACACTGACACCTGGGCTGTTGCCGATGTATATTCTACTTCAATATTACTGAGGGTGACTAACCCACACTCAAGGCCTTCATACAACACGCCCAGGGACGTCTGGGTGGTAGTGCGGACAAACCCGGACAACCCTCGCCATGACAAATATTATCTAGTACATACAGCGCCTGTTTTGTTTACATTAAAATAACTCAGTTTTTAAAACAAAACAAGATATATCGTCTAAAATTACACGATTGGTAAAGTATTGATGTAATCCTCTTAAAATAGTACATCAGCCTTTCTCCTGAGACCGCCGTAATGCGCAGGAAAGATAAAGTATTGTTAGAAGACTTGATAAGTATTGTTTAATACAAACTAAGTCGTGTGTAAGAAACTGTAACTCTCACTTAAGACCCGGTAATATAATACAATAATCCCATAGCTTAAGCGTGCAGTATAGCTTTAATCATTTCATGTTGAAGTTCGATTACTCGCTCGTACCATCATACCACTTCAATATATTTTGTGGGACCACTATTCTATAAACGAGAAAACATCCACAAGAAAGAAAAATGCCTGATTTCCCTCTCAAAGACTCTTAAGACTCTTTTTATAAATATTTTCAATATTATTGTTCGCGATGTGACTTACGCGGATAGAGTATATAATTATTGTTATAAATGAATAATGTTAAAATCACAATTCACAGCCAGAGTGTATAACGTGTCGAGACTTGAAACTAAAATTTAACGTATGTAACAGTTCTAGTTTTATTGCATTATAATGTATAATTGTTTTTCTTCATAAGATTATAGACGTCACGCTTATGATTGTTGATTCTGTTTGCATTTTTTACTCTCTCGTAAAGATGAAGTATAGAGAAAGTCTTGTAATCGTGCAAAAAAAAATTCGAGATTTTTGCAAATCTGACTTTTTACACCTCCCCTGAGTCGGTAAAACATCGTTTTGCAATCTTGTTTGTATATCTCTGTGTGTGTATTTGTCTGTCTGTGTGTGTCTAAACACGATAACTAGAGTACCGTTACAGCTAGGTTGATGAAATTTTATATATAAGTATTATTTCGAAATCGAAGATCCGTATACATTTTTGAGCGATTTCTGATAAACGGAAGAGGAACGTTTTCTACTTTGAATTTTTCAAAAGCCTATAACTTGAGTACTATTTCAGACAGACAATTAAAATTTCACATATACGTAAAGATCTAATTCTCTGCCTTCTATCAAATTTTGAGTAATTTCTGTAATTTCTGTTGACAGGAAGTAGTAATTTTCGCTTTTTCCGATTTCTCAAAAAACCCATGTGAATTTATAAAGTACTAATAATATTCCGCACTATTATGCACATCTTTATTTGGCGTTCACTTGGTGTGCATTTCTTTTTTCTACGAGATTATATTCTAGTTAAAAAAAATTTGAGTATTTAAAATGGATTAAAAATCATGTCTAGAAGTCTATATCCCGAGTTGCCATCCCCCGTAGTGTTATATTAGAATATTCGAGAAAGTTTAGGGGAGATCACTCCCGGTTTATTTTACAAGGATTACGAAACCGATTATGCTGCGTTCATTGTTTTTGGTTATAGTATATATATATATATATATATATATATATATATATATATATATATATATATATATATATATATATATATATATATATATATATATATATATATATATATATATATATATATATATATATATATATATATATATATACTAGCTGCATCCCGTGCTCCGCCACGGTAAAACTTTTTTAAATGTACCAACTTGGGAACAGGATAAAACTAAACACAACACAAACGAACGCAAAAAAAACACAAACGAAAAAACAAACACAACACTCATAACATTAACACAATTTAAATGCAATCATAAAGGCATATTGCTCACAGTCTAGCCCGTAGCGCCAAATCGCGCCCTTTCCGGTGATTTGCACCCCCCTCAAACTTTCGATTTGCACCCCTGTCCCCCCCCCCCCCGCCCTAAAACTTTCGATTTCCACCACCCCCCCCCCCTCGCAAATTTTTTCCAACCCACTTTGGCGCCCCCTTAGGTTGGCACCCGGGGACATATGCCCCCCCCCTCGCTACGCCTCTCCTATAAAACCCCTAGCTTGTCCGCAAACCGAAAGATAGAATAATAATTAGTAAACAGTATAAATAATAGGCAGTATTTAAAATATCCGTGTTTTACCTACAATATTTCACTTTATCCATTCACGCATTTTTTCCCAGTACTTTAAATTTTAAAAATTTACAATAGAGTTTCATAACTAAAACCATTGCGCACCTAATGAACGTGATGACGCGTCTATAATAGTGCTGAATAGTTGATTAAAAATTAAAAATTATAAGTAATAAACAGTAGAGCCTACATTTAGTGAATAAAATAAATAAAAGATTGCCTTTTATCAATCCATGCTAATTATAATTTTCTAACAATAATTTCCTCTTACACATCCGAATAATTTGCATTCACATTTTGCTAATTATATTATTGCAATACTAATTCCTTCTATGACGAACTTATATTTGCATTCACATTTTTTATTAGCGTGAGTTTAATGTATTTTTAAATTACCTCCTTTGTCAAAATTAGAAAAAAGAGTTAAATTAATTTGATTTTTCTACCGTACTGTTATTATGTTATTGAAATGTATCGACTTTTTCTGGGAATATAAACGAAAATGATATTTGACATTAATACTTTTAATATGTTTTAGCAGTGTGCGTGTATTTAATATTCTCTTTACGTTATGCAAAAAAGTAAAAACAGTGGCAATTATAAAATAGCTCTATGTCGTTATATAAACAAACCCTATTCTATTACTTATAATAAGACTCTGCGGTGCACTGAAAAGCGCAGCATGGTGCGTAGTTTACTTTTATAGTCCCAAAATCTATAGCGATGACGGACGGAAGGAAGGACAGACACAGCCCGCTTATATTATATATATATATATATATATATATATATATATATATATATATATATATATATATATATATATATATATATATATAGTTTAGAGTGATACATTTTTGTTAGCGCAATTTCCATTCTGGAGAATTGCGTTTATTAACTCGTCATTTCTGGGAATGGATGAATGAATGTATGAATGTATGGATGTATGAATGTGTGTCCGGGCTTTAAGTCGTATCTCCTCCTCAACGAAGCAATATCGATGACTAGTTACAAAAGCAATTATGTTAAGCAAGTTACGAGGATGAACATAGGCCATAAAAATTACGGGTTTCTTTCATGGATTTTCCGAAAAAGCCAAAAAACCTCGAAAAAATTCAGTTTTTGGCCCATATCTCGGTAACCAGACCACTTAGCGACTTGAAACATGTACCAATCGATTCCTGCTAAAATTTAGAACAATATTGCCGAAGAAAGTTTTCAAAAATATCCTTTCGTTCGGTCACAAATTATTTTTTGAATTAATTAAAATTTGGACCCAATTAGTAGGCATTGTATGCAACCACAACACACGCGTCATCACGTTCAATAGCTGCGCCATCACGTTCAATGGCTGCGACGTCACGTTCAGTAGCTAGGCGCGCAATGGTTTTTAGTCATGTTACTCTATTGTAAATAAAACATGTAAAATACTGAAACATTTTTTAATAAAAAACGTTTTAATAACTAACCAATGGTTTTACTAACCCTGCTCTTGATTTACGCTACGACTGAGCTATTTTTAGATAACACAAGGAAATTGCGCTAAAATTGTCACTAGACTTTTTTTTAATTACTTGTTTTTGTTTTGTCGGCCTACATTGTGTGTTTATTTTTGTTGCTTCAGAGTGCTACTTTAAATTTATTTTACATCATAGCGAAGCAATAACATACAGCATATATATATATATATATATATATATATATATATATATATATATATATATATATATATATATATATATATATATATATATGTTACGGTCAAAGCCCGAAGTCGGCCAATGCGCGGATTGGCCGGCCAATCCGCGCATTGGCCAATATCGCCTTTCATAGGTCGGTCAAAGTCCGAAACTTTGCTTGATTTCGGCCTTTGGCTGACCAATCCGCAGACTGGTCATGGTGGACCGGCCAAAGTCTGAAATAGCTCTTGATTTCGGCCTTTGGCCGGCCAGTCCGCGGACTGGCCATGGTGGACCGGCCAAAGTCTTAATTAGAAGATCATCTGGCTAAGTACGACCTGGCCAAAGTCCGAATTAGAAAATCATGAGCAGATTTTGGGTTTTTCAATGCCGTAAGGATCATGACATTAAGTCTTTATTGATTATTAATTAAAGTTAATGACAGAACCATTCAATTTTTTTTATTGTACTATAGTTTCAATCAATCAGTATTATCATTTGGTACAACAAGTTGAACTTTTATGGCATTTAGAATTACATAGCAGCTTGTTATTTTTATACTTGCAGCGATTTGTTGTGCACTTGGTTGTGCAATTGCAGCGAGTGTAGCCTTGGCCTCCAGTCAATGATTGTGAAGATGCGATGGTTCGTAGTGATTTTTCCTCAGTGCCAACTGACGAAAATAAGAGCATTTTTCGTGAAGAATTGAAAACTCACTTCTAGCATACAGTTGTTTTAGAACACCATGTTCCGTTCATAATTTGTAGAAACCGCCCTCGACGCTCATGAAAACTGCAATCACGCTTCGGGGATCACCGCATTGGCCAAGACATCCCGGCCAATGCGCGCATTGGCCGGCCAATGTACGAAATATGATCTTAGTTCTAAGTTCTTCGGGCTTTGGCCAAGAGAGCCGGCCAATCCGCGCATTGGCCGGCCAATCCGGGGTTTGGCCGCACTTCGGGCTTTGACCGTAACATATATATATATATATATATATATATATATATATATATATATATATATATATATATATATATATATATACACTTATATAGAAGATATTACAAATTCGGCGCCTTTTTTTTGCTATTTTCGCTCCCCCTACACCTAAAACCTGGATACGCCTCTGCAGCAGTTGTTTTAGTTTTTGGAGTTGTCTCTCCTAGAAGAGTGGCTGTCCCCAGCTAACGAGCCTCATCTGCACGAGGGTTCGACCTCGAGACTTTTTCGGTTTAGCAACCATGAGCTTTACCGACTCGACCACGCCGACCCCTGGTCCTTAACAGGCAACTGATAATGTTTTAAAGCAAATATTTTCAGTGGCAGCGTTGGTACTGTCGAATTCACAAATTATGAATTACTGAAAAGTAGAAAATAAAACAACTAAATAGCGGCGTATGATACGCCGCGGGTCGGCTCGTGTTTTTAATTGGTTAATACTCTAATTGGTCGATAATTTCACTATGTTTTTTTTTTAAGTTTAATATTCATATCCTCAACATAAGAATGATGAAATTTCTTTAGAAGAGATTAGTTTTTTTCTTACGCTGTTTTATGTAAAAGGAACGTAAAATTAATAGGAAAATTATTAATAATACATTATTTTAAATTTTCGATATAGTTGTGAATATAAATATTGCAACTTTTGCAAGTTTTTTTCAGTAGAATAAATTTCTTAGGTGTGTTTTGGTATGCAGGAGACTGCGTTGGGGAGGTGTTTAGTAGGTTGTGTTGGGTCGTTGTGACGCTAAGGGTGTTGGATTTATAAACAGGCGTGGGATGCATATTTGATGTGTTTCTTTCTGAAAACTGATCACTACATAAAGGATGATCGTGTTGATAGTAAACTACACATTATCTTATGTATTATGACAATATCAAAGACTATAGTCTAATCACTTTAAATAAAAGCGAGTTCAGTCCCTTTTGTGAGGCTAAGTAAAAAGACAGCGCAATATACGTCTGTCCCGCCGTTTATTATTGATTGAAACACATGTCGCGGACAAACTTGTGCTAGGTAATATTACATTAACCTGGGACAGCGTGGTCGGATGGTAGTGAGCACAATATCTAAGTACATTGAAGAAAAACTAATAAGTAATCAAAAGTTACTGATTTATATACTCAGACAAAGGATACAGATGTTTTGTCGTATGTGTACAGGTATTTGTCGATAATGTTCTTACAGTAGTAAATTTAGTAGCCTTTTATCTCTCTTGTCCAGCTTTTACCATATTACACAACAAGGGCGCTCTGTCATTATTTTAGACAACCATGGCAAGCATTCACACATTGGACACAACAAGGGCTTTCGCTTATTGGAGACAACGAGACAATGTGGATTAGGTTTCAACAATTGAAGACCAGACATCATGGATTAGGTTTCTCCAGCACAACAAACATTGATAAGCTTTCGATACACAAATTTTCTATTAACAACTCAAAAAAATATTATTTTTTTCTACGTTTTATTTTGATTTGAAATTAAAATGACACAAAAAAAATATTTTACTTGATAATTTGAAACACTTTATCAACCACAAAATTAAATTTAAACAATTTTTATTTCTAATTTATCCGTTCTTTCTAACGGTATCATGAAGGACTTTGACCGTACACGACTCGTAACTACCAAGCCTCTCCATCAGAGAGTAATGTAAAACCAAGAGACATAACGTAACATGCGGTCGACGAGAAGTTAGCCGTGGCCAGACTGTCAACACCAGCTACGTCCTTGGCTACAGGCAGTATCATGACCTCGCCCTGTCCACTGGTGCACCTGGTTACACTCAACGTGTTGGCGTCTGTGCTGAACGCGCCGACCACGTCGTTCTTTTTGACTAGGATTTGACGCTCGAATGGTATTTCTGCAGTCTGATTTGCGTCTGCGGAACACGTTACTGTGTTGTGGCCTACCAGATTGTATTTACTTCTGAGAAATTTTTAAAAAATACCAATAATCGTTACGTAAATTTAAAAGTAAGTTATTCTCGAATAATGATGGTAAAGTTTCGAAAACGAGACGAGGAAAATATTGTAAGATAATTTTTGCTTATTAAGTTATCTTTTGTATCATACTAAAAGTATTGATGATGAGGTTCTAGTTGTAAATACTTCCACTTTTTAACTACCATTTATTATGATGGTGACTGTTCCATTTGTTCCTAGTATGTGATGGTGGATGTTTTAAGAAAATGCTGAATTAGCTTCCTATAAAGCCAAGCATATAATTAACTGATCAGTTTCAGAGAAAAAGTATTGAAGATTTTAAGCCGATTTTTCGACGTTGGATGGTTGGCTGAGTATTGTAAACCTATCTGATCTTAACTCTGTTTAATTAATTAAAAAACATTAATGAACAAGAGACCTTATATTTTTCTATGCTACCAGAACAGGATACTCCAACTATTTAACTATTTGGAGGGACACATAAGTTATAAAATATTTACCCGCTTTTTCTGAACACGCTCAAATCGAGAGAACCGGAAGAGTTGCAGTAGTAGCGCCATGTTGATATAGCGCCGGGGAATGGCATTCTTGTTTTATAAAGAAACAACACACATTTAAAATCAGTTTTATCTTGTTGATTTTTAAGAAATACAATATTATCAGTGGCGTAGCTAGGATTTTCGGGCCCGTTTGCAAAAATTATCAGTGGGCCCCCTTCGTCAGCCTTTAAGCTACATTGAAGTTAAAGGAAGAAATCAATGGAGAATTTCAAAAATAATATAAATATTCTGTTCGTTTGAAAGTGTATATGTCCGGATTGTGTATTTATACTATATTAGTATGTAGTTTTGTAAAAAATATTAATGGATTACAGTTAATTTGTTTTTTAAGTAAACACAGTAGCATCATAAGGCTGGGGTAGAGGTGTGATCCGCAAAGGATGACAGCAATTAGGCGTTACACCATGACAAGACATTGTAAATTTTACTGTCATAATTAAGTTGTATCTAGATAAAATAATATAACATTTGTGATAGAGGGTAAATATACCTCCGAAAATGCAAATTTGTTGGGGACGATGGTGTGACACCTTTAGTTACCACCTAGGATAACACCTAACCTTGTGACACTACTCACCAAACACATATTTTTTTTAAATTGCTCATGATTTATTTAGATCTGTACTTTTTTCATGCTTTTAATTTTGTAAAATAATTATAAGTTGAGCATACCTAAAATAAATTCATAACAAATAACATTATTATAATGAACAAATAATGATCGAGAACCATCATAAACATCAAAATCTCCTACCCGATCACCATAGAATGTTAAAAAATATTTATACTAACTAGCGTACCCGTCTGAAAACAGTTGAGCGAGCGGGGACGCAGCACGCCACGGGGGGGTTTGTGAGGGTTTCATCAACGCGTTTCCAACTGTGTATTTTTAGTTGTGTGACCTTGTTTTCTAAAACTGAGATAGGTTTATTTAAAATGTAAACAACGCCACTACTATTTTTATTCGGATCTTTGTTGCTGGATGCGGATTTGGTCCACACTACCGCTCAGACGCCCCTGGGCGTGCTGTATGAAAACATTGAGTGTACGTTAATCATTTTCCGTTATTGTGAGGTTGAATAGCTTTCGGCGACCGCCTAGGTGTCAGAGGCGTCGTGGGAGTGACTGGATACACTACTGTATGTAGCCAGATGCAACCTCTGTCCTTTGTAGAGTACTTGTGCAATTGGTGTCGTCTGTACGCCGAGGACGTCGAAACCCTCCACTGTTGCAGTTTGACGTCCAATCAAAAGATCTCGTGCACTCAGCTAGCCGCAGTGTAACTCGGGAGCCCAACCGTTACTACTGCTGATGCGCTAGAGGACACCCTTATTCGATTTAGTAATCGATTTTTGTATCCCGACATATCCCTAGTGTATGGCGCTCATTAAAACGAATATAGGCGACCGCCGGGGTGCCGGCTACTGCGCCCGTGCAATTTGACCGCTGAATCGAGTAGAAACGCTGACCCCATGCGCCAGACACCCAATCAACAGAACCCAGGAGCAAAGAAAGCGGCTGCGAAACTCTGGGTGGCAAACCGCACCGCCTTACTGTCGGGGGGGGGGGGCGCCCTCAGAAATAAAATAAAACTTTAATGGCAGAAACCTCCCCAAAAGTCAGAGTTTCTTTCAGGAAAAATATCTGGGGAAAAAACACTTCCGTTGACGTATTCTCAACGATTTCCTAAAGTTTCTTGGCGATTGTATGAAAACCAAAAACGTATAGTGTTAATAGCGCTATATTGATTTAAGATTAATTAGATCAACAAATGAAATGTCATTAACGTAAAGATATAGTGATACTATTAAGGATGGGTCCTGTTAGACCCCCCCCCCCCCCCACACTGAATCCCACTACTTGTAAAGTGCCAAAGGACTGGGGAACTTTTAACTATTTCTACGATAGAAAAGTAACTGAATTCTCATTTCATTTTTAAAATTATTTATATAAAAAAAATAATAAAATTTCAACGTAAAAAGTTTTAATTTTTTAAGAGGGAAAAGGGCCCCTAAATGACATGGGCCCTATACATTACTTATGCTAGCTTTACGGTAGCTACGCCACTGAATATTATAACTAATGTACGTGTCATCATCCTTCCCCGTTCGTGCCCAAGATGCAGAGAAGAATAGTTAATCTGCTTTATAGACCTTCACATATTAAGAGATATAGTGGTCAGTACAATGCCCAGCTGCCTTTGTTTCCCTGGGTTAACTCCACTGATTTTAACACGGAATATTAAAATTTCAACGTAAAAAGATCTAATTTTTTAAGAGGGAAAAGGGCCCCTAAATGCCATGGGCCCTATGCTTTACTTGTGCTAGCTTTACGGTAGCTACACCACTGAATATTATAACTAACGTACGTGTCATCATCCTTCCCCGTTCGTGCCCAAGATGCAGAGAAGAAGAGTTAATCTGCTTCATAGACCTTCACATATGAAGAGATAGAGTGGTCAGTACAATGCCCAGCTGCCTTTGTTTCAGTCGGTTAACTCCACTGATTTTAACACGGATTCGAACTTGAGACTCTCGAGATAGCAGTCTAGCTCTCTACCGCTAAACCACGTCGTCACATAAAAGCATATAAAAATTACTAAAAAAAGCAACCTAAGTATTAATTTCTAAATATTATTCACGGATTGGATTTTAAACTCAGAGTAACTAGCAACCTGTAGCCATCAATGTCCATGACGACGATTGTGTTTACGGGAAGCACATCCGGTCTTCTCTTCACTAAATTCACGTTGATGTAAAAGGCGAATAAATGAACTCCTGTAATGAAGTATTGGAATAACATATTGGAATGTCATTTATCTAATTATAAGGAACATGAAAAATAAATGTGTTATACGTCTCAGAAAAAATGTATATGGGTTTACTACGGATGAAATTATGTGACCACAAGAAATCAATCAAATTAAAATACATATTATGATCAGTAGGTATAATGGTTGAAATATTGCTGTTACACAACTACGCTGGGGCTTAGACATAAAGCACTAGTAAGAACATATTTTTTCATGACTATTACAGTGAGTATTTCAAGTTAGTGCTCCAGGGTACAATGTTTGTAACAAGCACACATTTTGTATGAGCACTTTAACAATGAAAGGACTTTTCTACATGGGCTTCAAAATAGTTTTTGTTAGCGTGAATACATGGAGCTAAAGCGTTAAAAACTAAAGGAACTAGAATTTTATTTAAATTTTTTATAAAAAAAACTTGAGCAATACTAGGCCATTCGGAGTTTCTAAATGTGTATTTGTTAATTAATAAAAAAAAATACCGAAACAGTATGGTACTTGACACGCTCTGGTATGTCTCTCTGAATTGAAGCTAAGGTTGGCAACTGATATGGCTTAATAGTAGTGAAACACACAGATGTATTTTTCAATACACACACACACACACACACACACACACACACACACACACACACACAGACACACACATATATATATATATATATATATATATATATATATATATATATATATATATATATATATATATATATATATATATATGTGTGTGTGTGTGTGTGTGTGTGTTAAGCACACATATTAATGACTTCCTCGATACGTCTATAGATTAATTAATTACTTACGGGAAGGATTAACGGCATTGAATATATGATCGCTGATCATTCCGACGAAAGTAGGACGCTGATTTACCTTGTCTGTTTTAGCATCGTTTAACGCTTTAGCTGCAAATGGAACTTTGATAAGGAACATAACGACAATCTGTTTCATAAGCATCCTGTGTAATAGATACAATAAAAAAGTAAAATAGCATTTTCACGTAAAGTCCTATTCGGTCTTCACAAAGGATGTATACATTTTCATTTAAAATAAGCTTCAGATCAGAGCGCTGGTGGACAATGGGTCATAGATTGAGTGGACAGCACAACAAAATCTTTAGTGGGCAGCTGATCGGAGATATAGTGGACTGCCAATTACAGCTGGAGTATACTACAGAACAATTCAGTGGACAGCGGAACAAAATCTTTAGTGGGCAGCTAATATGAGCTGTAGTGGACAGCTGATTAGAGATGTAGTGGACAGCTGATTAGAGCTGTAGTGGAATGCTGATTAGAGATGTAGTGGACTGCCTAACAAAAGCTTAAACAGACTATATAGGAGGGGTCGACCAGGTCGAGTCGGTAAAGCTCATGATTGCTAAAAAGAAAAGCAAGGTAAAATCAGAGTCAATGGCCTCAATGGCGCATAACCAGTTGACACGTATACTTAGTTGTGTTATTTTAGGCTGTAGGTAAAGCTTTATAAAAGGACTGCTGCTAAGAGATTAATTTAACTGGACTATACATCGGAGCTTAAATTTATTGATGTAGGCATAAACTAGAACCGGGACGGCTGAAACAGAACTCCACATTTTTATCACAAATTAAACATTAGAAAATGCTGTGAAATAATGTGAAAACTAGCAATTAGGTTTTTAAACTGAAATATAGAATATAGAATTTTTAAAATTTTCGAATATAAATCGATGCGCTGAAAGAATATCTGCCCCAATATCCGCGAGCAGCGCAGTAAACTCTGAGGTAATATCCATATCCACACCTTAGCGAAGCACGGGTATAAGCGTTTGGATTTAGTTTTGTTCTGTTCCCAAGTTGGTACTTTTAAGGGCATGGGTGTGTGTACTTTTCGTCATAAATCCACTAAATCATCGATTTCCCACTTTTACTTGATCCATACAGAACAACCATCGTTGAATCTAAAAATGACATTGTTATGACCCTAAAAACAGTATTTAATTATGAAAAACCGAGTTCAGTGTAGTGTGTACAGGGTAATTTTTTAAAATTTTTTGGTAAAAATAGCCATTTTTCGACCTAGAAAAGTACTATTAGGCTTAGCGGAAACCTAATGTGTTTCATGCCAATGGAAAGGCCGTGGCCTCCTTTCTTTATTTGTTCTAAAATTAAATGACCAATCAAAATACCTATTTTAATGGGATTATTTTTCTACGTCATAAAGTTGTTTATTTTACGGGTTTTTCCGGTATGCACATTTTTTACCTCAATTTTTTTATTGGTATTCAACGGCGGAAGCTAGTTAGCGATTGGTCGTTTCGCTTCGGAAGTAAACATTCCCTTAGTTTCAGCGCGTTGCTAAGTTTGATCTAGGTTTGTTTCTCTATGCTTCTGTGAAATACTTACATTATTTTAACATATAATTATTTCAATTAAATATACTATTAACAGTTTAGATTAGTTTGTGTGATTTATCATAGGCAGTGAGACGATTTAATTTGTTTCTCTTTCGATAATGGGTAGAACAAAATACTCGCTAAAAATAGATACACACATCTAACTAATTTACTAAAACTAAGGCACGTTCGAATGCAACTGATTGCAGCTACCTCTACTCAATCTAGCACTATTCAGACAAGCACAGGTGCAGATGTAATATGCACATTTACTAAGAAACTGCGGCAATGTAAGACACAGTTTTTACAGACAGAAGAAAGCACTGTTACATCTAGTACTGGTAGTGCTAATTGTAAACAACAGCCATGCAGAATTATTGTCGACTATGATTTGCTTCTTGATGTTATCAATACATTTCCTCGCCCACTGTGATGTAGTGGCTACTATTGATGAAAAAAGTGTAAAGGGTTTGCTTCAAGCATGGTGTGGCAGTAATAAAAATGTTCTAAACCGTAAGTATACAACTGCAAAAGAATCCAGAACAAGGCCATTCACAATAAACAAAGACATCGTCTTATAATTGGCTTTAGACATGAGACCATGCAAAATATATGCTGTTTATGCGATAGCATAATTCAATTTTGGGCCCAGGCATGCTATGGCATTGCTGTCAAAAGAAGGAAACCAAAGTCGAAGACTCTGTGAAGGACGCCAAAAAAGACGCCATGACAACAGCTTTACTACAGCTCTAAGTAAAATAAAGAGCGTCAGAAAAAAAAAGAAAACTAACAGCGGATTTTAATGACATACAGCGATAAATGTTCATTTTTTGCAACTTTTTGTTAGTTTTTTGCGTTTTTCTCAGTTTGATGTTTTTAGTACAATTGTTGAAATAACTTTGTTAATAATTATCTGAACTGGACTAAATTTGCCCCAGTTACTCTTCATATATGTTAAAATAAAACGATAGAACACTTTTGGAATTTAAAAAAAAAAAAAAATTATTGTTGAAAAAGTGAAAAAAATTGGACGAAATAATGAAATTTTTACAGTGATGTTTGGAAAAATAAACCGGGAGTGATCTCCCCTAAATTTTCTCGAATATTCTTATATAAAACAACAGGGGATGGGAACTCGGGCTATAGACATGATTTTTAATCCATTTTAAATACTTAAAGTTTAAAAAATAGAATCAAATCTCGTAGACAAAAGAATTTCACATCAAGTGAACGCCTAACAAAAAAAGTGCATAATAGTGCGCAATATTATTAGTACTTCAAAAATTTACATTAGTTTTTGAGAAATCAGAAGTAGCGTAAATTACTACTTCCGGTCAACGGAAATTACTCAAAATTTAACAGAAGGTAGAGAATTTGATCTTTAACTTACTTGTGAAATTTCATTTATCTATCTGAAATAGTACTCAAGTTATAAGCTTTTGAAAAATTCAAAGTAGAAAAAATACCACTTCCGGTTATCGGAAATCGCTCAAAAGTTGAAACGGATCTACGATTTTGATTAAAAACATATATATGAAATTTCATCAACCTGGCTGTAACGGTACTTAAGTTATCGTGTTTACACACGGACAGACAGACAGACACACAGACATACGGACAGAATTGCAAAGCCCAGTTTTTCAGACTGGATTACGCATCAAACCTCTTAATTTTGATAAATCTGGATTGATAATTTTTGCCCGATTAAAATAAGTCCTCTATACTTCGGATGTTATGAAGGACTGAGGTGTAATACGGTGAAAATTGTTAAAATTTCAAGTGATTTTTGTCCACGATTACAATACTTTCTCTATACTTCGTATATACGAGAAGGTAAAAAGTAAAAAAAAAACTATCTTCTTTTTTGAAAATGTAATCTATCAGAAGTCTTAAATACATGTTTCTGCATGCAGACTATATTAAGTTTTCATGAAATTTGTACAAATCATTTTTTAGTTATTTCCATTTAAATATTGTCAATAAAATCCAATATGGCCGCCGTCACCATGGCAACGGAGGATTTAAAAATTAAAAAAATAAAATTTTATGCTTAACTCTTTGTTTTAACTATTAGCCAAGTGTTACATCTTTAGACTCGGAAATACAGAAGTTGGTACTCACCACCCGCTCATTCCCTTAAAAAAGATTCACCGTGGAAGGAGCACTGATATGCAGCTAGTATATATATCTATATATATACAAGGGCTTAATTATAGATTAGCGGGTAAAGCTCCTATGTTTATTTCCTTCACAAGTGTAACATAATATTAATATCCGAAATTCCTATTTAAACCCACTTGGTAAATACATCCCGCATTTGGTTCAGTTATAATCTGTGGTTTTCCACTGTTCGGTTCTACTGTAACATGATCATATCGGATCATCTTTTAACCTTTAGTTCTAGTATTTACAACATTATGCTAATTCGAATTAGCAATAACTATATACGGAAGCCCATGTTACGTTTTTTTTGTCTCGAGAACATAAGGATGCGTAAATTCACAGTGAGTGGCCGGTAAGAACCAGTAAGTCCCGGGAATTAAATAGAATAATCCCCAAACTTATGCCTGCTGTAATACTTAAACAAGCAAATATTCAGTTTCAATCGAATTTCGATAATGCGTTTGTACCGTAGCACTACTTCACTAATTTACTGCGTGAACTACAGTGGAGCAACTACATAACCTTTGGTGAGGAGGGGTGGTGAAATATGTGGAATGGGCATCCTTAGGATTATTCCTCAGTGAAGGGAGTGTTATGCTAACAGAGATACTAGACCCATGCAGTGGTGCTTCGTAGACGAACATTATTTGTTTTAGGCCATTTATCATGGGCAGAAAAGTGAAACGATTTTCTATTTTTGTCCAGTTTGCTCTACAAACACAGTTTTCTCAATGATTGGCTCACTTTGTCAATGCACCATCAGCACCATGTGCTTCCCAGTGGCGCCTACTTTCGGTTTAATGGGCACCCTTAAATAGGGACAAGGTGGCACACGATGTTCGATGATTAAACAAAACCAAGAGTACCCCATGATACACTGACAGCTGGGTGGTTGCCGATGTATATTCTACTTCACTATTACTGAGGGTGACTAACGTACACTCAAGGCCTTCATACAACACGCCCAGGGACGTCTGGGTGGTAGTGCGGACAAACCCTCGCCATAACAAATAGCATCTAATAAATACAGCATCTGCTTTATTTACATTAAACTAACTCAGTTTTTTAAAGCAAAACAAGATCACTCGTCTAAAATTACACGATTTGCAACGTATTGATGTAATCCTCTTACAATAGTCTTTTATCTGAGACCGCCGTAATGCGAAGGAATGATACAGTAGATTATTATAAGACATCATAAGTATTGTTTAATACAAACTAAGTCGTGTGTAAGAAACTGTAACTCTCACTTAAGACCCGGTAATAAAATACAATAATCCCATAGCTTAAGCGTGCAGTATAGCTTTAATCATTTCATGTTGAAGTTCGATTACTCGCTCGGACTATCATACCACTTCAATATATTTTGTGGGACCTCTATTCTATAAACGAGGAAACATCCGCAAGAAACAAAAATGCCTGATTTCCCACTCATAGACTCTTAAGACTGTTTTTATAAATATTTTCAATAGTATTGTTCGTGATGTGACTCACGCGGATAGTGTATATAAATATTGTTATAAATGAATTATGTTAAAATCACAATTCACAGCCAGAGTGTATAACGTGTCGGGACTTGAAACTAAAATTTAACGTATGTAACTGTTCTAATTTTATTGCATTAAAATGTATAATTGTTTTTCTTCATAAGATTATAGACGTCACGCTTATGATTGTTGATTCTGTTTGCTTTTTTTAATCTCTCGTAAAGACGAAGTTTAGAGAAAGTCTTGTAATAGTGCAAAAGAAAAAACGAGATTTTTGTAAATCTCGACGTTTTACACCTCCCCTGAGTCGGAAAAACTTCGTTTTGCAATCTTGTCCGTATATCTGTGTGTGTGTGTGTATGTGAGTCTGTCTGTGTGTGTGTGTAAACACGATAACTAGAGTACCGTTACAGCTAGGCTGATGAAATGTTATATGTAAGTATTATATCAGTATCGTAGATAGTTTTAATCTTTTGAGCGATTTCTGATAAACGGAAGTGGAACGTTTTCTACTTCGAATTTTTCAAAAGCCTATAACTTGAGTAGTATTTCAGATAGATAATTGAAATTTCACATATACGTAAAGATCTAATTCTCTGCCTTTTATCAAATTTTGAGTAATTTCTGTAATTTCTATTGACAGGAAGTAGTAATTTTTGTTATTTTCGATTTCTCAAGAAACGCATGTGAATTTATAAAGTACTAATAATATTCCGCACTATTATGCACATTTTATTTGACGTTCACTTGGTGTGCAAGATTTTATTCCATTTTAAAAAGTGTAAGTATTTAAAATGGATTAAAAAGCATGCCTATATCCCGAGTTGCCATTCCCTGTTGTTTCATATAGGAATATTCGAGAAAGTTTAGGGGAGATCACTCCCGGTTTATTATTTCCCTAGTGCTATTTATTATTTCAACTAGCACATCTTAGTGGTAGCACTTATATTGCATTACAATGTTATCTTCGCCTGTTTATAAAGGAGGTTTTGTAATCGTGCACAAAAGTCACAAGAAATTTTCAGTTTTCACAGTTTTGCTACTCAGTACTTCATCACATACGGAGTATAGGGGACTTATTTTAATTGGGCAAGCATTCAAAATCAAGAATTATCGAAATTTCGGCGTTTTACGCGTAATAGAGTCGGAAAAATCTGGACTTTGCAATATCTGTGTGTGTATATGTCTGTAAATATGATACCTTGGGTACCATTACAGCTGTGTTGATGAAATTTTATATATAAATGTTATATCAAATTTGTAGTTTTGTATCAAAGATTTCAAAAACCTACAACTTTAGTACTATTTCAGATGGATAAACAAAATTTAAATTTTCGTAAAAGATCTAATTAGCTGCCTTCTGTCAAATTTTGAGTATTTTCCGTTTATCGGAAGTAGTAATTTACGCTATTTCAAATTACTCAAAAAACATATATTAATTACAAAAAGTGCTAATAATAGTCCGCACTATTATACACATATTGTTTGCCATTCACTTGGTGCATAATTCTTTTTATCTACAAGATTCTATTCTATTTTAAAAGTTTTAGTAATTAAAAATGGATTAAAAATCATGTCTATATCCCAAGTTGCCATCCCACAGAGTGTCATACAAGAATATTTGAGAAAGTTTAGGGGAGATCATTGCCGGTTTATTAATTTAAAGATTACGGGTCCTAAGCTGTTAATTTTTCGCATGCATTCCTTGCACCGAAGGGTATGTTTTTAAATATTCTAATCGGTCGATGATCTCATTATGTTTTTTTTAAGTTTAATATTCACCTCCTCAACCTAAGAATGATGACATTTCTTTAGAAGCGAATAGTTTTTTTCTTACGCTGTTTAACGTAAAATGAACGTAAAAATTAATAGGAAAATTATTAATAATACATTATTTTAAAAGTTTGTGTATATAGTTGTGAATATAAATATTTCAACTTTTACAGTTTTTTTTTCAGTAGAATAAATTTCTTACGTCTGTTTTGGTATGCAGGAGACTGAGGTGGGGAGGTGTTTAGTAGGTTGTGTTGGGTCGTTGTGACACTAAGAGTGTTGGACTTATAGACTGGCGTGGGATGCATTTTTGATGTGTTTCTTTCTGAAAACGGATCACTACAATATAAAGGATGATCGTGTTGATAGTAAACTACACATTTAATAAAATACATATAAATGAAATTTCTTCAACCTAATTGAAACAGTACTCAAGATATCCTTTCTACATACATACTTACATATACACAGAAACAGACACGCACAGTCGAAATTGCAAAATTATGTTTTTCTGACTCAGGAACGTGAAAAACGTGACAATTAATAAAACTATCAATGCTGATATTTTGCACGATGACATTACTTCCACTGTAAGAGAAAGTAAAAAGTAGAATTAAGTTCAAATTTATATCAGCAAGTATCTTTTATGACAAACTAATAATATATTTTTGTGTCTATGCCTCGCTAGAATGCTGCTTAAAGGAGTTGTGCTTGTTCTTCTTTGTATTCATCTAACTGCAGGCTCGTACAATGATGACCAGTTGGACACAATGTAAGATACTAGAATTCCAGTTACTTACTCCCCAATAAAGCATTTCTTTAAAAAAAACATTTTCAAAATAGAAAAGGAATATCACTTTCTGATAAAAACGTTATTTCTAAACTAGTAATAAAACATATCATACCAAAGTTATTTAATGGATGACATTTAAAACGATTTTATTACTTAACAACTCTTCGTTATCCCTCAAACAAAGAGAAAAATATACAAACTTACAAAAAAAACTGCTCTTATTCCCCAGAGTCCGAAAGAGTTGCTAATTCTATTTCTTGAAGCAACAAACCCATCCACCTCACCTGATCCTTCGCCGATCAATGCCAACATACCCCAAGGGCTATTCCCTTCATACGTTGTCTTTCAAATAGTTTTATAGTTAAAACATATTTAGTGATGACAAAAATTATTTTCTTCCACCCCACTCGAGGCTACCGCCTGCCCAGACTCCCTTCCCGACTGTACCAACGCCGGTTTATCTTTAAAATACGTGAACATCTAAGTAGTTGCATTCTTTTTCTTTAGTCGGTTTAGCACTCAGTGATAGGTGAAAAATATCATTGGTTTTCTTCAAATTTCCTTTCTTTATAAGGAGTTTGGTAAGGTTCAACCCTTTCATAGTTTTTTTTTACACAATCATAGATTACTTTTTTTGTCTCGGGAATACGGGCTACCACCATTAGAATTATCTTGGGGTGTTACCGAAGATTTGTTTAAAAGTATTGCAGGCTTCTAAAATAATGAGGGGTCGATAGGATCAGATTGCTAAAAGCTCATGACTGCTTAACCGAAACGTTCCGAGTTCGAACCCCGGGCAGATGATGCTTAATAGGCGGGGATAGCAACCCATCTAGGAGAGAAAAATCCAAAATAAATTAATAAAAAAAAACAGTAGCTTGTTCTTGAAAAGACAAACATAACGGACGCAAATCTAGAAAGAAAAGTAGGCTGACATTAAAGTCAATGCTCCATAAGCGTGTAACAGGCTGACACGCAATTCTTAATTTTGTTGTCAAGATCATAATTCTGATTTTAGTTTTATTAGAGAGTGTTTACATTTAATTTTAGGATCAAGAACATTTGCTCAGTGTAAAAGTTACCAATGTTTCTGTTTCATTGATTAGAACACAAGTATGTTTATGGAAGATTAGTAATAAAGCATTTAATTATCCCACTGATTTGCTCGACGCTATTTAGTCCACAAGCCCCAACTCAAGACCAAGATGAGGGAGCAAAGGAAATCGTCTGGGACTTCACAAGGAAAAAGCGCGCTGTCCACGACTACACTGTCAACTGGGTGGGAAAAATCCCCTACGTTATCGACCCGACATACCAAGCATATGGTAAAAATAAGAGTAGGGTTAGGAAAATGACTATTGTGTAAACGTTGAAGTCTAAACCATTCAAATGAAAACATTGAATACAAACGTTTTGGTGTTAAGTTTGAACGCATATTATCCAAGTTGTTTTACATGTATGTTATGTTGTATTATAGTTGCGGTAAGTTCTTGTTTTTGTTTATTGAAATTTTTTATAAAAAATCCGTATTTTGAGTTTGAGGTTTCGTGAACGGGTGATTGTCTAAATAAAATTCACATGCGGCGACTGCATGAAAAAGATTATAAGAAATATTTCATTGACTCGTTAAGTTTGTAGATAATCTTGTAAATATAACCTATGATTTCTTCTCGAGATATAATCAAGTTAGTGTGTTTCTTTTCAGGAAATCATTTTCAAAGTAATTTTTAGAAAACAAAAATTTTCTTAAAGGATTACCACAGAAAATCCTTTATGTAGTAGAAAATAACGTGGTGCTTTGCAAAATTGTGTCTTTTTACCTAATGTGCACATCATCATCATCATCGTTTTGATCATAATCATTATCATCATAATCATCATCATCATCATCATCATCATCAGCATCATCATCATCATCATCATTATCATCAACATTATCATCGTCGTCATCATCATCATTATCATCGTCGTCGTCATCATCACCATCATTATCATCATCAACAGCGATTTTAATATGTGTTATCGCAGGAACAAGTTTTGTTCAGGCCATTCAACACTACATTAAATCAAATGTTTAATTTTTAACCTACATCTACTACACGATTTTAAATATAATATGTAATTTTCAGGCTAATGCTATACGACTTTTAATTTAATATTCCCAGGTCCTTACTACACGACGTTGTTAAAAAGATCTCTACAGTACATCATGGACAATGTCTGTCTGACGTTTGTTGATGAAACCAGCAGATGGAACTCTAGCGACCCCAAGTGGTTCACCAAAAACGGTTACACCTATGACACCTACATTTCAGTCCAGGCCAGCACAGGGTGAGATAACTACCTTAATGAGGTCAACTTAATTAGACATTATACAAGTGTTGTTGCTAACATAATGTAATGTTTTAAAGAGGATTTTTTAAATAACTTCTGTTAAAACATTAAATGTTAGTATGCTAGATCTTTGATTGCGTAAAACATTTATAGTTCATTTTTAAATTTGACGGTTTGATATTTTGAAAAAGAAATTCTCCATGTATAAATTTCTCATCATGCTAGATAATACAAAATGTCCGTATAATACAATTGGTTTCTTCAACTGAGTAAATCATTTCGATAGAGTTTGTGATATCCAATCATTTCAAAACATGTAAAAAGTTTTTTTTTTTAAACAAGCAATCTGATTGGTTAACCCTGCAGGTGTTCAGCGTTCAGTGGACCAGGAAATGGTGTTGGAAATTCACCCAGAATTGTCTACCCCTGCCAGGATTTCGTAAGTTTTTTTCAGCTACCTAAGAGATCTTAAAATGTATATTAAAATTTACATAGGAGCTTTATGGCATTACTGTTTACTTTTTCATAATGTTTTACAATCATTATCTTGCCCTTGCTGATTTTAGCATTTCTACAACAGGCAGCCGAGTCCATTGATATGCCAATGGATTGTTTCTTATTTCATACCATATGAGTTGTTTTTTTGTCTCGTTTTTTACGATGCTTACCAAGCCCTCAAAGGACCAATCACATTGGTGATTCTTCAAACATGATCTTTGTAAGAAATCTTTAGAATTCTGTACTAACACCACATTTCTAAGGCCTGGATCCGTCTCTTTATGTCTCATTTAAATGGCTATGCCTAGCTTCCGTATAAGGAAATAAACTTAACCAGTGATAATTTGAATTTTGTGCCGAAACGAGTTCTTCTATCACGGCAGATGCAATTAATCTTGTTGCTTAGTTTCCTTGTTAGAAAAGATGTTTGCTCACTCGTACAATTCTTGATGATTTCTAAAAGGTTTGTGCTGAAGTGTTATTATAGAGCTTGGAAGCAGAAAATGAAGCGTACTTCACTCTGTTTATTGCCTTTTTCTTGTCTATGGAGAAGTGGTAAAGATGTTGCTGTTGATACTCTGCTGTGTTTCTGTCTATAGCCTGATCGCTATTTAGTTATGATCTTCTCAGTTAGCGTCTTTACTCTCTCTCTCTCTCTCTCTCTGACTATCCTTCAATCTCAATCTATCTCTATCTCTTTATATATATATATATATATATATATATATATATATATATATATATATATATATATATATATATATACATAATTTATATACATTATATAATAAAATAAAAAGTATATAAATTTATTTATAAATATATATATGCAATTTTGTATACATTTCTATTCAAAATTTCTTAATCGTGAGAAATATTTAAAACATTTGACAGGTAAAAACGAAAATAAATTTATATTAATTTTTTTTTTAATTTGCTAATTTAATTTTGTAGCAGCATTTGTCATTTAATATTTCAAGTTCATCATTTGGGTTTTTTTTTTTTTTAAATTCAGGTGATAAATTTGCACGAGATGATGCATACGTTAGGTGTCGCACACGCACATCAAGGCTTTCTAAGGGAAAATTACATTACAATTAACGTAGATGATATTCAAAGCAGTACGTCTTCTGGGATATTTTTCAAAATATTTTATTTGAAATTTATTTCAATGTTGGTTTAAGTAAAATTTTAGATGAGTATATTTTTGTTTTAGTAACTAATGGATAATACGTGTAACGAATTCAAATTTTATTTCGATTCAATATTTAAATATATTTGAAAATTCCATGAATGAATCTAATAAAATATTAAAGTATACACTGTATAAACTTGTAATATATATATATATATATAATTTATTTGTTTTTGTTTGCCACAGGTCTCATCTACAGCTATGACATGATTCCCGCATCATCTCAATTTGTCAACTTATTCTTCGACCCATCCTCGGCCCTAATGTATGGTGCTAGGGTAAGTCTAACGAAGTGCTTGGAGACTTAGTGTCCCTAGGAGACAATGGTGCTATAGATTATTTATCATTCAGCCAGAATTCTGAATGGTGATCATCCATAAAGTTGTCACGTTTTTTTTTGGACTTTTTTGCCTCCACAATTACCATCATTGAACATATTACAAAAAACTCCTCCCCAAAAATGAGTACACATTTAGGTCTTTAAAGGTGTTTAACTTCGCACTATTAGATTTTCAAAACATCGATTTTGTTTCAATAATAACTTTTAGATCTCAGTCAGCAGTTACCCAATCAATCTAATACAATGGACAAATCATCATTTCATAACTACTAAACGTTAATGAAAACTGTTAAAATGCGAATGTGCATTCACATTTTCTGAAACCCACTCTTGACGTCCAAAATGACGACACCCGCTTACTCTATGGAATGTGACATCGTTTATGGGTTATCCAAGATTGGAACTATTGAAAAATTTCAAACTATTGATCATTATGTATATTTTAATACAAATTTAAACCATTAAGGGCTAGTGCTGCTCACCAGCATATTAAGCATATAAGCAAATATTTTCACAATATAACAAAAAAACTGATAGCTTTGATTTACTTAAAGACTTGGACGAGGAACGGCAATGAAGCGTACACGCCAATCAGGGACGATCTTTTTAACACTATCACCTCGGTGTCAGCGGACTCTGTCAACTTTCTTGAGCTTGTTCAAGTACTGAAATGTACCGGTAAGGTTCCATTTTTCTAGTACCAATGCTCATCTAGATATACTTTTTACAAAAACGATATCTATTTTAATTGCTCATCTTAAACTATGATATAGCTGATGTGCATATGCATACACACGCATACACACACACACACACACACACACATATATATATATATATATATATATATATATATATATATATATATATATATGCATTATTTGTATATTAGTCTAACTTATTTAATTTTAAAATAAAACGAAATATCCTACGTACGCTAAACTTACTAATACAACATTCTTTGAAACAGTGTTTCTTCCAGAATTTTTCATTGCATTTTTTTTGCATTTGACTTAATTAGATGGCTTATTAATTTTTTTTACGTTTAGAAATTTTCTAAAATAACTAAGCTGCTCTATACGACAATCAGGCAATATAGTACGTGCTCACTTTGAAACTAATCGGTCACATAGAAGTGCTTGAAATTCTGCTCGGCATTTACGTTCTAAGACGACAGACAGAGAGATGAAGCTAGAAAATCTTGTAAAAATATAGATGTATAAATCGCAATTGTTAAAATAAGTATGTTGTATGTGTCTTTTTTTCTAAAACACACAGAAAGATATTGTGGAGGAAAAACGGTCGACTGCACACCCGGATATTACTCGTATGTGAAAGGCGTCTGCCGATGTGTGTGCCCGGATGAATTTGATATCACCACAAACTGCAAGACACTGAAAAATGGACGTACGTTCTAATTGTTTAAGGCTACATTTACATCTAAACTGAACCGCTAACCGTTTAAAAAAGTCATATAACTATAAATATTGTACAGCTTTAAATAAATTACAAACAATTTTTTTCATTTAAAGCCATTCTAGTTTTGATTGCAAAGTTTTAAATTTAAATAATAATTTTCAAACGAGAATTAGAATTAGTTTTAGGGTTTGTTCATTTAAAAAATAAATACTAACAGCTTCGCCACTCGCTCAATGGCCAAACACACCAATGGTTGTCTTCGCTGGAGGACCCTCGCACAGCTGCCCAACAGGATTCAACCCCACACCTGGCTGGTTCTCCTTCACTGGGTCCTATGCTATGACCCAGACCCCTGGGGCTCCTGTCCAGTACCCCGTATCTGGAACCACAAACTACTTTCCCGTCTGCACCAGAAACTTACCTGCAGGAACCACAGCTGACTGGGAGTCCTGGCCACCTGGCGGTCAATACTGTTTCATTAAACCTGCTGGTGTAAACTGTGGGGGAGGTAGGATTTTTTCTTTTCTACTTTCTCTTACATTTAATATACAATTAATTGTATAGACATTTTACACAGAGGTTTAAATAAACAATTTTAAGATAATATATATATATATATATATATATATATATATATATATATATATATATATATATATATATATATATATATATTTAAAGTTATATATAGATAAGTACATACAAATACGTAAATTTATATAGATAAATACTACATTTAATCTACAGCTTTCGTCGAAGCGGGAGGTTATGCCGTTTCTGCTGCCAGTATTTCCACCAACGGTTCAATCGGTGACATCACCATCTCCTCCAATAACGTGAGCATCAAGGCCTGCTGCAGGTACCAAGAGTTTTCAAACATCGCCATCGACTTACCTGACGGCGAACCTTTCAGACTGTTGACGCGAAGCACCTGTCCATCTATCAGAGGTAGAGATGATTAATAATTAATTCAGAAAATTAGATATAATAGTAACCATACGATAACCGGAGCCTGGTAGTTGTTTTAATTGCAAATGTCTTCGTGTTCCTTTCTTTATGGGGAACAAAGCGCTGCGGCCACAACTCTCCACCGGACTTGGTTTTAGGTCGGCTCTCTTTATCTGGGCTCATGTTAGCCTGTCAGCCCTTGCCTCTTCTACTTCTTTTTTTCTCCAGGATTTCTTTGCCCTGGCTACTTGCCTATTCCCTTGTGGATTCCTGTCTAACTACTGCCTCGCGATGTTGTCCTCTTCCATTTTCAAGATATGCTCGTTCCAACCATCCACATTTGCAGTTTTTATGTCCTTTTCTATTGGCTTTGTTAGGTGTTTGTCACAAGTCTTTATCCGTCACTTTGTCTGACCATCTTATCTTAAGGATGTCGTAAACATCTGTTTGTGAATGACTGAAGCTTGTCTGTATTTGCCTTGGTAACCCTCCAGGTCTCCGAACAAGAGAGTAGTATTGCCTTAAGTTTTGTCTAGAAGATTCGTATTCTGCTTTGGGGTGACAACGCTGTGGAATTTCATTTCGGGTGTAGTGAGTTAACGGAGCAGCTGCTGTTGTTGATAAGGCATTTTATATCCCATCCTTGTTGCTATTGTATATAAGAGTTACATACAGTGCCACATTGACTACTTGAGTAAATTACTGTTATTTTATACTTAGTTCTAAATAGTCAATTGTGTAAGTTACATTTTATAGCCTAGTTAAGTTGTATGTCTTACCTTAATACAAAAAACCTAATTCACTGAAAAATACTTTTTTCTTAAATTCTTCGTCTGCTTCACCTCTTTGAAAGTGAGGCACCGCTTCCTATAATTAAAAATCTTTCAGTAATGCAAATTATACATGTATCCATGATATATTTTCACTAAATAAAATTATGCAAATCCAAATTAATTACTCATACACACATGCATACATACACTTACATACACTTTAATTTGTTACCTAGGTCTTAAGGCGTACAACTCAAGGCTGAACCTGTGGACCACCAACAGTGGTGTGTTTGGACCCGCTGAATCCCCCTTCTGGTGGTTCTCGACCTCCCTCACCACCTACTCCTGCTACTACCAGCCCGGTGTCTATGGTAAAACATTTTTACAAATTCTACATTTTTGTATATAAGATATTTTAGGTTAGAGAAAACTACACAAAAATACTATTATCCTAAAAATCTATTTAAAAAAAATTCTTTTAAATTCAAAAGAAACGCACTGTTAGTAAAAAAAACAAATCTCTAAATGTCCTGTCTCAGCTAATGTTATAAATCCACTGAAATGTTAAGCTATAAGATTGAATCTAAAAATGGGAAATAACTGTTTTTAAAAGGATGTAATGAGCTGGTAACCTTGGACGCCAACAATCGCTCTGTGACCATCAGGACTCCGTTTCTCCTTACAGGCTACAGGGAACCAAACAGGCGATGCTTCTACGCTTTCAGTGTAAGATGACTTCCTTTTTATTTCTTCTTCTTCGTTCTTAAAATATGACTTCCAATATTGTAGGTTTTAGATGTCTCACTTATATTTTTTAAATGTAACACTAGTACCGCATAACTAACCATTGACATTGTTCTTTCATTTAAATTAACGTAAGTTATAAATATGAGTGGAGCGACTCCAAAGTATTTTTAAAAACATATTCTGGGCGATTTACGGGAGAATTCTTTATACCAAAAAATGGGTTATTCAATGTAATTAATAAAAACTTAACAACGCTACAAGTTCAATGGAGAGTAAACAAGTGTTTCTTTAAGACATTTTCCTTATCTAAATAAGTTATTTATTTTTTCTATTTTGTTCAACGGGACGGTATACATTTTTCGTGATCTTTTTCAGGCAGCTCTTTGGTGTTTGTGCCTCCCCCCCCCCGTAAAGAAACAACTCTCGAAATTAACGTCAAAAATAGTGCTATAGATTATTTCGTGGATTTTATATCTTCCACAGTCCCCGCCCAACTCGCAGATCCTGATTACCTTCAACAGATATAGTTTATCTACAACGATGGATGACTTTTTTGTAAAAAAATATCATCCATGGCAAGTGGCCTTCAAGTAAGGACCTATTAAGTTAATCCAGTTTTTCTATTATAGAAAATATATAACGTACACACAATTGTCGTTTTTGTAATCTTAATATATTTTGTTCAAGTTTTAAAAAGTATTTACTCGTACATTTGTAATAAACATAAAAGTAGCATACTAAAAATATATTTTAAAAATGTGAATAGAAAGAACAAGCAAATAAAATAAAGTATTATTATCAATTCAAAAGTCATTTTAAAATAGTTAAATATAATTTTATTATAACAATTTGTAGACTAGATAACGCGAATTATCCAGCACAAATTCTGAGTGAGTCGAACTACTTCTCTGCTGAGGCCTTTATGGGATACAGTGCTACCACCAACTACGGTGTCAATTTTACAGCACAAGTTATTTTACGTAAGTCGGTTTAATTAACATTTCTAACAAGGGTTTCAATTACCTTCATAAGTAAAGCCAATATTTAAATACATGTTTTACATGCAAACATGATGTGCAAGGAGCAAGAGGAATATTTATTGGCCATATATAAATATATTTTATGAAAACATATAATGTATCGATTTTTTCAATAAAACCCCTCAAATGTAACCCAAACGCAAATACATGCACTATGATTAATTTTTAAGAAAATATACGACTATTCCTTTTAATTATAAGACAGAAGGAAGTAGTCTACTTATTTTTTTCTAAAATAAAAAAAAATTAATTCAGTAACTAGACTACTGATATATAATAGATTTATACTTTTCACCAGAGTCTTAAAAGATTATTTTAAATTCCTTTTGTCCACAGCCGAAGACTACTGCTATGATTCTTCAACAAATGGCGCCGACTACAGAGGGAAAACTGCCATTTCTGAAACATACGAGCCCTGTATAGAGTGGTCAAAGGCTGTCAACTGCTCAAACTTTCCCAAGTATGTCGTGGTTATTTTGCTCGGAATATGTTGCTTTTAGATTCGTCTATACGGCGTCAATTGTTTTTTAATGCATAAAAACGTTTTAATTCCAGCTATGTATCTAATAATGAACTAAAAAGGAGAAAACTAATTATCGTCTTTAAAATTATAATAATACACTACTATTTAAATAACGATTCAAAAGAGTGTGTCCCTATATTATCTATTGGATACCTTTACTAATATTTAGGAAGAGACCAACGTTTTTCTTTATAGTTCTTAAAATAGTAATGTATAACTATATATTTAAGGAAAATAATTTATTTTCTCCTTTTGTATGGCATTAATTTATAAAAGCTTGTTATTAAAAACTTTTTATGTATTTTTTTTTTGAGTACTTACATTTTTTTATTACAATGAATTTCATGACTTAATAGAATTGCGTACTAAATGAACATGACAATCTAGAATAACCTAGATAAAGATAGCGTCACCACTACTTTGCTATATTTAATTGTCACACAATAGTCGTGTGTATGTTTGCTCAGGTAAAAGAAATTCTTTAACTCAACTTTTCGAATTTGTGTTTAAAGCGTCGTACCAACATGACAAAATTTACACTCACTTTTTTAACAAAGTTCATACACAAAAAATTATCGTAAAAGCTATGAGGACGGTTCAATGTGTAGTATTAATTACCTTTTACTATATAGTATTAAAATTTGTGGGCTTTAAATTATTTCCTAATTTTTTTTTATTCCCAGGGGTGACCAAATAGCGAACATTTTGTCCGGCAACGAATGTCGTAATCCAGACGGCCGTAGAGGACCTTGGTGCTACACTTACATCAATGGGACCAACTGCAACATTCGTTATTGCGATGCTTGCAATTTCAGTCAGTTCAATTTGAAATCTTATTATTATTTTGGTATTATTGACAGAATGTGATAACTTCAAATCATTTATTTTTTTATTTTATAAATTTTTACACTAAATCAGAAGTTCCGAGATAGTTAGAGTGCTATGTTGTTAAATAGTTTTAAATAACGTATGTATGTATAGATGGGGAAAGCTAGTGTGTTACTTTGTTCAATTATTTAAAATTCTAATAACGTATATATGCATAGATTTCTATTACTCGAAACGTAATTGCTTTTATGATTCATTCTATTTTTAGTGAAACCAATCGACGCCTTGACAAAATGTGCCACCCTTAAAGCATCGAATCCAAATTTCTGCTCTACTGGTGTTCAAAGGTTGGGATGTTTTGTCTCCTGCAACTTTTCAGTAGAGTCAACAACTAGAGGTAACAGCATATTAAACATCTATTCGTTTAATTTTAAATCCAATTATACATTGCATTAGGGGACATGCGTCAGAACAAATCACCGAGATTGTGAATTTTTTTTTTTCACTTTTGGATTCTTTGTCCTTTTCTTAATTCAGACAATTAGAACTTTAATGTGAAAAGAAATTCTAAATTTTAAAACAAAAGTGTGACTCTATAAGAAAACAGAATAATTTTTTTTCTAATATTACACGGTGGTTACAAATATTTGACTTCCGCCATCATATTGTATTTGGCATAAAGCTGGATTTCTCCGGTATTATTTAATTTCCGTCAAATCGGACACACCAATAGCTTTTATTTGGCTTTAAAAATTACACAGAAATTGTATTTTCCTGTACTAGATTTAGATTTTGTTAGTTTTTTTTCGGTTTTTCTCAGCAGTATTTTGACACTAAAAAGTCTATTCCTTGTTTTTTTTATAATACTATTACCACCATATTCTCAGAACGTATTCTTAATGTAATAAGACAGTTTTTATCACGAGAGAATTGTGATGGATTTACTAGAAAAAGATTTATGACATAAAAATGCACAATTTTTCAAATTTCCGCATTCTCAGTAGTATAGTGCGATGTTTCGGAGCTTGTGGAATTCAGATAAAAAGTTGTTGTGACAAAAAATTTAATATGTCCTGAAATTTACGGAGTGTAAATTTGATTGCTTTAAATGCTTATAAAAAAGACTTAGTGTTTTTAAAAACGACAAAAAATTCAAAATGGCAGATGTTTTTTTCGAGTTTCTATGACTACCGAAATTGTTTTCAAAATCTGTTTTGCTGTTTAGTAGTTACTTTTATGTGCCACATATTGCAAAGGTATTTAAAGTGCTTCAGGTGTTAAACCATAAAATAAAAGAAAATAACTCTTAAAGAAATACCGAATATATTTTATTTTATAAAGTCCATCTAAATTATTGTCGTTTTTGAAGTGTAACATTTAATAACAATATTATAAACGGAAAATATAACTAATGGCAAGATGTGATAATGGCTGAAAAAAAAAACTCCTGCTATAAAGTTTTAACCGTGAAAGTTTTAAACTGTGTTTTAAAACGAAACAAATAAGCTTCAAATTTCAGATTGTTTTAAGAAATTGTAGGCCAAACGTTCGAGTAAAGTATCATGCGAAAAAAGGAAACAATAAAATTTTTTGAGAAAAACAATTTTGAAATGTAAAAAATAAAAATAATAATTTACCAGCTGTCTGTGGTCCGCCTACCATCCCCACTGATGCGCAGGTGGTCGGTACTCTAAAGTCTCAGTACCTGGAGGGTGAGAAGGTTCAGGTGAAGTGTATTCTTTATAACGACACTGGGCTGCCAAATGACATGTACTGTACTGCAACTGGATGGACAACTCTTTACCAGGCATGCCGAGGTATGTTACTCGTTCTAAATACATTGTCATTTTAGTTATCAGTTATTTGTGTGAGTACGCGTTAAACTTGTCAAAAAACTAATTACTTATATGTGTGAATAACCGTTTACCTTGTAATATAACTAATTAGTTATATGTGTGAGTAGCCTCTTAATGTTAAATTAATATTCCTCTCGTCAATTATGATCACATTTTTAAACTCTGTTTCTCTTGATGTTTGTTTTATTTTATAATTTCTTAAGGATATACGTATACTTATTTGAGGAATGCAATTCTCATTACATCAAAACTAACTTGACTTTGACGTTAGCTCTAACTTGATCTTTTCACTGAAACATGTTCCTATACCATAGCAAGTTGTTGTACCAAAGCCCATGTTTGATGGTATTTCATAAAAAGTACATTGACCAACTAATTTGCCTACTGAATATAATCTATATATATAATTCTCTTCTGGGAGCCGTTAGAAAACAAACTGCAAGCGCCTCCTTGCAGTCCCCTCTCTTTCTCTCTATCACTATCACTACCACCCCCACCCCACCCCCACATTGTCTGGTGAGCTGTGTTCACTCTAAATGTTTACAAATCGTAGAGCCGTAGAGCCGGGTTTCTATTAGGGGCAGATAATTTAGTTCGATTTTAAACTAACAGGAGGTAACTAAGAAATAACTAAGAGTAGGCTGCTTTCAATGGGGGGTGGGGGGGGGGGGGTGTAGGGTCGGGGTTAGGGGAAAGGGGGGGGGTTAGTGTTTCAAAGCAAATATTTTCAGTGGCAGCATTGGTACTGTCGAATTCACAAATTATGAATTACTGAAAAGTAGAAAATAAAACAACTAAATAGCGGCGTATGATACGCTGCGTGTCGGCTCGTTTAATGAAAAATGACTTTGTCTTACTTTCTTTTATGTAGAAAAAATTGCAATCTTGCAAAATATCGAAATAAAGATTTTCACAAATCTCGACATTTTACAGCCTATAGTCGGAAGAACTTAATTTTACAATTGTGTTCATATCTGATTGTGTATGTGTGTGTGTGTGTGTGTGTGTGTGTGTCGGTCTGTCTGTCTGTCTATGAACACATTTCTTTTTTAAATGTTAGAAACTCAATTTTAGTCATCATTCGCGCTTTTAAGAAATCATTTCCGGCATGGAAATAGATCAATATACTCAAAGTTGACCGAGCTCAGTAAGTAGTGTTAGAAATAAACAAAAGTTGTATTTTTAAAGTTCAATTTGGCTAATGTGTGACGTAATATGAGAGTTGAAGGGAAGTTGGGGTCTGACTTTTTGTAACGATGCGTGAAGAAGTGAAGGGGGGAGGTAAGAATTGTGAAAAATATCGTGACCGTGTTTATGAAAGACCCCTATGTGTAATAGTTTCTTCATAAAATATTTATAAACTATTTATTAATTGAATCAACTAATGACTCACGTCCGAAAATGTAAAAAATCATCTATGTCGTATATACACAAACAAAAACACACACACACAAACATACACACACACAAACATACACACACACAAATTATATATATATATATATATATATATATATATATATATATATATATATATATATATATATATATATATACATATATATATACAACCATATCATAAGATTTTTATTTCTAGGCACCTGTGCTGACAAGGTGGACACATGTGAGAGTGTGATGGCCAAATCTCCAACCTTCTGTCTCAACGCTAACACATTGACCACAGCAAGATCGTCCTGCGCCCTCTGCTGTGGATTTTGTTCCAGTAATGCATTCGATTAAAAAAAAAATTCCTTATAGTAAAAACCATAATGTTTTCCGAGTAGGCCTACGCCTTCCGTTTTTAAAAAGGAAAACATGAGCCTATAAAACACGCAATTACGCAGTCCACCACATTAATAATCCATAAACTTTATTAGTTTACCAGCTTATTTATAACCCAATCAAGTTTTTTTCTTAAAGAATTTAAAAAGTATGCAAAATATGTGTATGTGGTAGTGTGTATACTAGTTCTAACCAATACTGTCTTGGTCGTATTTTTCTCAGACACTGTGACCTGCTCCACCCCCACCAGCACCACCTACACCAGGACGTCTGCTCTAGCTACCATCAAACCAGGTCAGGTCATGACCTTCACCTGCAATGCTGGCCAGTACTACGTGTCAGGAGATCTCAGCAGGGCGTGTTCTATGTCTGGGAACTTGCTGGGAACTGAACCTGTCTGTCAATGTACGAGTTTATATATCAGACCTTTAAATTTAAATCTTCACTCAGTATTCGTATATAACTTGTACAACCTTGCAGTACTATATTGTTGATAAAGTAACAATCAGTTGCAATGCTGTGTTTGACAAAAGAAACTGGGAGCTGACCCTGTATGTCGATATAAATTTGACGTTTGTTCTACAACATCTTAATTATTCATCTAATTTATTTCATTTTTGTAGTGAGAGCTGCTTTTAATTTAACCATCCGTTTGTATTAACTGTGAAACAAATGACGTTATAGATTATTATTGTTATCCTCAGACTTTTTTTGTTTTTATTATGTATTGTTTAACTAAGAATGTCGACTTGCACCACAATGTGCCATAAGACTTAATGAAAATAAACGCTCGCGAGTGTAAGCAATAATTTAGTAAGATACAAAGCATGTGGTTTGAATACAGAATTGGGCATTGTGTTATTTATCACACGCTTAAGATAGAGACAGATGTACGGAATTATGTTTTCAAACAATTTGAAAAATTAAGAAAGTAATTAAGATTCAGCAAATGTATTTTTCTGGCTTTTATTAATAAGACTTAGATCGAAATGAGAAAACAGGCACTCAAAGATTTTCATTTGTGTTTGAATCCCACAGCAACACCTGTTGCCACTGATGTGAATCTGAACTCCGTCAGGAGAAGATTGAACACTCTGCCAGTTAAAACAGTCGTCATCTTGGACAAGGACGGATACAGGTGAATCCAATGAGCCAAATTTGCATTTTAAGTAGTAGAAATAACAATGGTATGATTATATCCTAACGAATATTTTGCTGTATGATCATCAAGTTTAAAAAAATAATTTGTAAACGAATACGATTTAAAGTTTATATATTCTGGTATTGTCGTAGAAGAAACAATAACGTATGTATTGATAAAGAGGCGGGTAGATAGACACAATGCACACAGTTAAAAAGAAGTGGGTTGATAGACACAATGTTCACAGTTAAAAAGGAGCGGGTCGATAGACACAATGTTCAAAGTTAAAAAGAAGTGGGTCGATAGACACAATGTTCTCAGTAAAAAGAAGCGGGTCGATAGAAACCATGTTCAAAGTTAAAAACAAGGAAAAGTTATTAAATTTGAGTTACAATATTCAACCTAAAACCCTTTTTTTGTCAAAAGGGAACCGCCAAGAAATTTTCAGAAACTGTTTGGTTCTTAACTCATTAAAAATTAAAGATATCTTTTTAAATGGGTTCTTTTTTATAACAAGTACTATATCACACAGTAAATAATTCTTATTTTAAATGTTCAACTCACAGAATCCCATTTAACGGCAACATAACAACCTGGTACTACTTCTGCCAAAAAGCTGGAACTGTGTACTTCACTGTGTACAGGAAAAGTGGGTAAGTGTTTGCTGAATTTTTCTGTTATACAGACATGACAAAACGGCTCATACACAATATACTGTGGAATATATTAAAACAATTGATCTATTTAGCGTTAATGAAAGTTACGGAATTTAATTAGACTCCATATAGATAATGCAGGGGTGTGGAGGTCACATTTTTCCTTGAACTCGGAGCAATCTTCTCTAAAGTAATTTTCCCATTTTAGATAAGTTGTTTCAAGGATGTCCTACAGACTCGATCCCGGATTGATCTAGAATTAATTTTAAATACGATATATGGTTATAAATCTTAATTTAAATTATATATTTTACTAAAATGTTGACAGTTCACAACAAATGAAATTGTGGATTCTAGTCAAGCGATTTTTAAATATTTTTTCCCAGAACCACATACTCTTTAGTGGGCTACAACACCATAAGCTGCTCAGCTGACTTCAAGTGGGGTGCGGACATAGCCGCTGCCAGCCAGATCGCCGTCCTGAAAGACGACATCATCGGGGCGTTTACAACTACCGCCAGCACGCTCAGCGTCAACACGTGCTCCGACACGGTGGAGAAGATCATGAACCTGCCCATCGCCACCAACGTAGCTGGTGCTACCACCTTGAACACGGCAAACTTCTCTACCATGTCCTGTTACATCATGTCTCTTGGATGTAGAGTCGCACCGAGTAAGGAAAGTGTGTTACATATTATGGCTAAACAGAAACATACGCACACACATTACCACACAGAAAAGGACAAACGCACATTGAGGGACACATACTTACATGTCCATTAATAGGGGCACACTAACTTATGAATAGTCTCACACACATCCTCCCCACACAGCTTCTCTCACACAGACACATTCACAGACACATGCACTCTCAATCGCAGACACTCATACACCGTTACAATGATAAACATATACACATTCCACACACACATTCATACACATGCAACCCTCTCTGACACTCGCACGTACACATTCGTGTATCCCAAAGATAGAAAGTCACAGAAAGATACACCATAGAAACACAACACACACAGAGCTATACATGCCGAACATATAACTGCTACCATTACTTTTTATGGTTTGAACTTTTTTTAAAAACTTTTAATACAAAATATTTTATTCCAGCGTAATCCTTCAAAGCATCAACTCCTTCTACTTAAATCAGCAAGGATAACGGCCGCTCCTGTTTATGGTTACTGAATTAATAAAAATTAAAAATCAATGCTAAATTCGCATTTTTTTACACATTTTTTTTTGGCTGCAAGCATAACTTTAAATAACAATACACACAGATTGCAAAAGCAACAGCTGTCACTTTCTAAAAGCACAGGTAATCAAGAGTATGCTTTGGCATACATTTACAAAATATAAATCCACACCTACGGCTAAAATACGCGTTAAGAAAACACGGTTAGACGGATCGTGTTTATCATAACGAAGGTTCATTTTACACTTGTTTGTGAAACTCTAGTCGTGATCTGAGTCTGAAAATGAATGCTAGCCATCCACTTTAAGAGTGAGGAAACAAAATAGCATACAAAGACAACTAAACGCTCATGGAATTCAAAAGCTATCTACCAGTTTAGGAAATAAGATATTAAGTAAAAAATATTGGATCTACGACAAAGTCCCGTAAGACAATTATTGGCCGAATGCAGTTTGCCCGCAGGCCGATTTCCCAAATGGACAATTGCCCGAATAAGACAAATGCCCGAATGGACACTTGCCTGAATGCGACAAATGCCCGAATGTGTCTATGCTGGGCAAGCTTCCATTCTGGCATTTGTCGCATTCGGGCAAGTGTCCCTTAGGGAAATATGTCTTCGGACAAACGGTTTTCGGGCAATAGTCTATCGGGAAAACGTCCGGCTTCCAAAACTATTACCAGATTAATAAAATTGCAACCTTAATCCCAGTTGAAACATTTGCAGATGAGGACAGATACATTCGGCTTCATAGTTGACTTCATATATTTTTTAAAATTTTATCTTGTGCCTGCTGATGAAGAAATTGGTACAATTCCGATCATAAAACGGATAAAAAATTTTGCTCAGAAGACACGTCTTCCAATTTATTATTAGTTGCAATAAATTTGAGTAAATAATAAACTAAGTATGTTAACACAAAGACGCAATTGCAAGTTATAAAATATAGTTGATCCATGCTTTTATATTTATTACAAGCATTTTCGTGGTATTTATCTCATCAGTTCTTGTGAGAAACGTACTTCCACGTTCATGGCTAATCACATTATTTAAAGAATAAAACATATATTAAACAGTTCGTTTAGAAATTATGACTTCATCCAAACCATAAAAGTCTTAACCGTGTAGTCATTCAAATGTGTAGTTATGTTACTCTAATTGTTCGACACGTGACAAGTGTTCAAGATAGGGACAAAAATAGTACTTGATTTAGCATTTCTAAAATAATATTTATCTATCCAAATATTAAAATAAAATAACTAAGATGACATTAAATAAAACACTGGAGTACTTACATGGAGTACCATACTTACACATAGAATTAACATTGAAACATTTGGCTTCAGTAGTAGACTACCAACGTCAATAGAAACAGGAATCACAATACAGCCACTCATTTTCAATCACCTAAGTCCAGCCCTGGAAATAACAGTGCTAACTGTTATAAAGACGCCAGAAACTGGACAAGACACATCATAACCACATCGAGTAATAAACACGGTTGCAGCCATCTCCCAGATCTCTACACAACTGAAAGATCCCCCCCCCCCCCCCCCGGTTCTCAAATCACACAATAATAACAAAGATGGATACAACAACATTCACCAAGAGGAAGAGAGAAGACGACACAGACCCGGAGTAAACATTAAAAGCAGCTAAAGTCAATGAATAAAATAAAAGATATGCTATTGCCACTTTATTTAAAACACTGTTTAAAGACTCTAATCGCTTAATCTGCCCCTTTTTATTCTTCGGACCATGAGTGAAACATTAGGTTAAAGAACGCAACGATGCCTAAACTGCCTTATCTATGTAATTACAATTAAGACTAACGGGCTAGAACAATTTGTAAAAAGCACCCAAAGGCACCAACTCATGAGTGTGCATATTGTGAGGCTCCAGACTCCGTGTTTACAACAAAGAAACAGCTAAAAGCACACACAAAAAGCTGACCTCTATAAAACTCATCTTGTCTACACTGTAAAGAATGTAGTTGTAAATAAGATTTTGTTCTTAATTAATGATGGGCTTTATGCAAGTAATATTATTAAGTGTGACTTTGGAGAGAAGGGGCAGTGTTGTGTTTTTAGAGAATACTAGAATGTCTTGAACCCGGATTCGAACTCGAGACTTTCGTGTTAGCAGTCTAGCGCTCTAACTCTGGCCAGTCCTTCTTTTGTATAGGTTGCGTGGAGACCAGCTTTTTGTGTGTGCTTTTAGTTGTTTGTTTTCTAAACACGGAGTCTAGAGCCTCACAATATGCCGACTTGTAGGTTATTACCTTTAGGTGTTTTGATGTAAAATGTTCTAGCATTTTTGACTTGATTGTATTTTGTAGATACGGCAGTTTAAGGCATCGTTGTGTTCTTAAACCTAATAGTCCGAAGAATTAAAAGGGCAATCTAGCCAATTAGGGTCTGTAACAGTGTTTTAAATGAAGTTGTGATTACATATCCGGTATTTTATTAATTGACTTTAGCTGCTTTTATTGTTTTAATGTCTGGGTCGTCCTCTGTCTGCCTCTTGGTATCCATGTTTTTTTGTAATGAGACTTGAGGCCCGGGTTTTTATCAGTGGTGTCGAGATCTGGATATTTGCTAAACCCTTGTTGTTAATTAAATATGGTTCTGATGTGTCTTGTCCAGTTTTTGGGGTCTTCATAACAATTGACAGGGCTGGACTTGAATGGCTGTATTGTGATTCCTGTTTCTATTGGCGTTGGTAGTCTACTACTGTTGCCAAACGTTTCAATGTTAATTCTGTGTAAGTATGGTAGTAAGTAATCCGGTGTTATATTTAATGTCGTCTTATTTATTTATTTTTTAATATTTGGATAAATCTAGTACTATTTTTGTCCCTATCTTGAACACGCGTCTCGAGTCAAACAATTAGATTAACACAATTACACTTTTGAGTGACTAGACTATTAAGACTATTATTGTTTGGAACAAGTCATAATTTCTAAATGAACTGTTTAATAGTTTTTTTTTTAATTCAGTGGTTAACTTTAAACATTGAATTACGTATTTCACAAGAGCTGACGAGATAAATATGCACGTAATAAAAGCGTGTATAAACAATATTTTATAACTTGTAATTGCGTCTTTGTGTTGCCATATTTAATTCACACTCAAGTTTATTACAACTAATTGAGTTGGAAGAGGTGTCTTCTGAGCAAGATTTTGAGCCGTTTTATGATCGAAATTTAACTACATTTTTTATCAGCAAACCAGATAAAATTTAAAAAAAAAGCATTATGAAGTCAACTATGATGCTATGGTATCTGTCCTCGTCTGCAAAATCGTAATTGGGATTAAAGTTGCAATTTAATTAATCTGGTAATGTTTTTACGTAATACCTTGTTAGCTAAAGTGGCAGAAATGATTTTGAATTCCATGAGCATTCAATTGTCTTTGTATGTTATTTTGTTTCCTCAGTCTCAAAGTGGATGTTTAGCATTCATTTTTAGACTCAGATCACGACTAGAATCTCATTAAAAAGTTATGATAAATTTTATTCTGTAAACGTGCATTAAGGTGAGAATGTATATTTTTTAATTTTTATTTTATGCCAAAGCTTTTATAAAGTGACAGCTATTGTTATTGCAAACTGTGTGTATTGTATTTAAAGTTATGCCTACAGCTTAAAAAATATAACAAAAAACATGCGAATTTAGTATTAGTTTTTATTTTCATTTTTCAGTAACCATAAACTGGAGCGGTCGTCATCCTTGCAGATTTAAGTAGTCAGAATAGGTGTTTTGAAAGATTACGCTGGAATTAAAGGACATATTTTGTATTAAAAATTTCAAACACATTGACACCTGAAAATGTAAAGGTAGCCGCTTTGTGTTCGACATGCATAGGTCTGTGTGTCTTCTGTTATGTCTCTGTTGTGTCTCTTTGTGTGGGTGTCTATTTTTGGGAAAGTATTTGTGAGTTCATGTCTGCTAGAGACGACGATTTTGTGTGAGTGTGTGGAGAATGTGTAGCTGGGTATTGTTGTGAGTGTCGATGTGTGAGTGTCTGTGTGTGAGAGTGAAAGTGAAATTTAAAATGTCTGTTAATGTGTTTATGTGTTGGAAGCTGTGTGGGAAGGATGTGTGTAAGTCAGACTATTCCTTAGTTAGTGTGTCCGTGTGAATGTGTCCCTCAATGTGCGTTTGTCTTTTTTGCGTGGTAATGTATGTGGGTCTGTGTGTGCATGTGTGTATGTGTCTGTTTAGCCATAATATGTAACACGATTTCCTTACTCGGTGCGACCCTACATCCAAGGGACATAATGTAACAGGACTTTGTGGCGAAAGAGGCCGTGTTCAAGGTGGTAGCACCAGCTACGTTGGTGGCGATGGGCAGGTTCATGATCTTCTCCACCGCGTCGGAGCACGTGTTGACGCTGAGCGTGCTGGCGGTAGTTGTAAACGCCCCGATGATGTCGTCTTTCAGGACGGCGATCTGGCTGGCAGCTGCTATGTCCGCACCCCACTTGAAGTCAGCTGAGCAGCTAATGGTGTTGTAGCCCACTAGAGAGTATGTGGTTCTGTAAAAAAATTATTTAAAAATCGCTTGACCAGAATCCACAATTTCATAGGTTGAGTAGTATGAACAGTTTCGTAAAATATATAATTTGAATTGAGCTTTATAACGAAATATTGTACTTAGAATTAATTATAAATCAATTCGAGATCGAGTCTGTAGGACATCCTTGAGTGGTGCCGAAACTTGAACTTTACGTTAGAAAAGATGGCTCCAAGGAAAAATGTGACCTTCACACCCCCTGCATTATCTATATGGAGTCTAATTAAATTCCGTGTCTACCATTAATGGTTACTACATCAATTCTATTTTTATATTCCACAGTATAATTTGTGTGAGACGTTTAGTCATGTATATATAAAAGAAAAATTCAGCGAACACTTACCCACTTTTCCTATACACGGTGAAGTACACAGTTCCAGCTGTATCACAGAAGTAGTACCAAGTTGTGATGTTTCCTTTAAATGGGATTCTGTGGTTTGTACATTTAATACAATAATTATTTTACAGTATTATATATAAATTGTTGAAAAAAAAGAATGCATTTAAAAAGAGATCTTTAATATTTTTATGCGTTAAGAACCAAAAAGTTTCTGAATATTTTTTGGCAGTTCCCTTTTGACAACAAAAACGTTTAGGTTGAATATTGTAACTCAAATAAAAAAAAACAACGTTTTTCCTTTTTTTAACTGTGAACATTGTTTCTATCGACCCGCTCCTTTTAACTTAGATAATTGTGTCTATCGACCCACTTCTTTTTAATTGTGAATATTATGTCTATCAACCCGATTCTTTATCAATACACATGCTATTGTTTCTTCTACGAAAATTTTAAAATGTATAATTCTAAATCGCATTCGTTTATAAATTATTAGTTTTTAAACCTGATGATCATATAGCAGTAGTCGTTAGGATAAAATCCTACCCTTTTTATTTGTACTAGTTTAAATGCAAATTTGGCTCATTGTGTTCACCTATAGCCGTCCTTGTCCAAGATGACGACAGTTTTAACTGGCAGAGTGTTCAATCTTCTCCTGACGGAGTTCAGATTCACATCATTGGCCACAGGTGTTGCTGTGGAATTCAAACACAAATGAAAATCTTTGTGTGTCAGTTTATTTATTACGATCTAACTCTTATTTACCAAAAGCCAGAAAATACATTTGATAAATCTTAATTACTCTCTTAATTTATCAAATTGTTTGAAAATGTAATTTAAATTAAGAGTGTGATTAATATTACAAAATACATAATCTTATTCATTCGATATTCCTATATAATGATTTATACCTTACTAAATTATTGCTAAAACTCGCAAGCGTTTTTTATCATTACGTCGTATAACGCATTGTGGTGCAAAGCGACTATTATTAGTTAAACAATACATAATTAATAACCAAAAGAGTCTGAGGATAATAATAGTAATCTAAATCTAGCGTCATTTGTTTCACAGTTAATACAAACGGATGGTTAAATTAAATGCAGCTCTCACTACAAAAATGAAATAAATTAGGTGAATAATTAAGATGTTGTAGAACAAAACGTCAAATTTACATCGACAGACAGGGTCAGTTCCCAGTTTCTTTTGTCAAACAGGGCACGGCTACTGACTGTTACTTTATCAACACTATAGTACTGGAAGTTTGTACAAGTTATATTTGAATACTGAGTAAAGATTTAAATTTAAAGGTCTGATATATAAACACGTACATTGACAGACAGGTTCAGTTCCCAGCAAGTTCCCAGACATAGAACACGCCCTGCTGAGATCTCCTGACACGTAGTACTGGCCAGTATTGCAGGTGAAGGTCATGACCTGACCTGGTTTAATGGTAGCTAGAGCAGACGTCCTGGTGTAGGTGGTGCTGGTGGGGGTGGAGCATGTCACAGTGTCTGACAAAAATACGACCAAGACAGTATTAGTTAGAATTAGTACAAACACCACTACCACATACACATATTTTGCATACTTTTTAAAATTCTTTCAGAAAAAAACTTGCTTTGGCTTATAAATAAGCAAGTAATCTAATAACGTTAACGGATTATTAATCATGTTGACTGCGTAATCGTGTGCGTTATAGACTCATGATTTTTTTTTAAATAAGAAGACGTAGGCATACTTGGAAAGCTTTTGGTTTTTAATATAAGCGACATGTTAGGAAATATTTAAAAAAAAAACCAAATGAATTACTGGGACAAAATCCACATGACTGTGCACATGACGATCTTGCTGTGGTCAATGTATTAGCGTTGAGACAGAAGGTTGGAGCTTTGGCCATCACACTCACACAAGTGTCCACCTTGTCAGCGCAAGTGCCTAGAAATAAAAATCTCATGATATGGTATATATATATACCATATCATATATATATAACATATATATATATATATATATATATATATATATATATATATATATATATATATAGTACAATACTTTTTCCATTAAAGGAAGTAAAAAAATGTGATGTCAGACATTTTTCATAACATTATATTCAGTTGGCGAATTGGTTGGTCAATGTACTTTTTCTGAAATACCATCAAACATGGACTTTGGTACAGCAACTTGTTGTAGTCAGATTAGCGTTGCGTAGGGAGAAGAGTCAGTGAAAGGATCTAGTTAGCGCTAACATCAAGGCCAAGTTAATTTGATAAAACGACAATTGCATTCCTCATATAAGTATTCATAAATATATCCTTAAGAAATAATATAAAAAACATGCATCAAGGGAAACAGAGTTTAACGATGTGATCATAATTGACGAGGGGAAAATTAATTTAACGTTAAGAGACTACTCAAACATATAACTAATTAGTTATATGATAAGGTTAACGGTTCTCACACATTTAACTAATATGTTATTTTACAAGTTTATCGCGTACTCACACAGTTATCTGATAACTAAAATGACAAACATCAGAATAAATAAATATCAACAAAACAAATACGCTGTACAAACTATAGTTTATAATGTATTTATTACGGGTAACATACCATTGCAAGCCTGGTAGAGAGTAGTCCATCCATTGGACGTACAGTACATGTCATTTGGCAGCCCAGTGTCGTTATACAGAATACACTTCACCTGAACCTTCTCACCCTCCAGGTACTGAGACTTTAGAGTACCGACCACCTGCCCGTCAGCAGGGATGGTAGGGGGACCACAGACAGCTGGTAAATTATTATTTTAACATTGAACAAAAGGTAGATCTAGACCTATTGGAACATTTACGAATTGTATGAATTGCATGCATTTAAAGCTATCAACTTACCCTCCATAAAACTCAGTACATATCCCCTTAAAACAATGTATAAGCGGATATAAAATACATAGAACTACAATGGATGTTTCGTATACTGTTACCTCTAGTTGTTGACTCTACTGAAAAGTTGCAGGAGACAAAACATCCCAACCTTTGAACACCAGTAGAGCAGAAATTTGGATTCGATGCTTTAAGGGTGGCACATTTTGTCAAGGCGTCGATTGGTTTCACTAAAAATAGAATGCATCGTAAAAGCAATTACGTTTCGAGTACTAGAAATCTAAGCATATATACGTTATTAGAATTTTAAATAATTGAACGATGTAATACACTAATTATCACCATCTATACATTTCTTCGTTATTTTTAAATTATTTAACAAAATAACACACTAACTATCTCGAAACTTCTGATTTAGTGTAAAAGTTTTTAAAAACAAAAACAAAATATTTTTTTAACTTTGTGTCAATAATACCAAAAAAAAAAAAAATTCATAAAAAACGTTTTAATAACAAGCTTTTATGTAATGATGCACTAAAAAGTAGAAAATAAATGATAGACTACTATTTAAATAACTATAAAGAAAAGCGTGGGTCACTTTAGTATCTATTGGATACCTTTACTAATTTTAAGGAAGACACCCACGCTTTTCTTTATAGTTATTTAAATAGTAGTCTATCATTTATTTTCTACTTTTTAGTGCATCATTACATAAAAGCTTGTTATTAAAACGTTTTTTATGAATTTTTTTTTCAGTACTTTACATGTTTTATCTACAATAGAGTTACATGACTAAAAACCATTGCGCGCCTACTGAATATCACGTTCAGTAGGCGCGAAATGGTTTTTGAACGCAGCCATTACGTGGTCGTGATGGCGCAGCTATTGATGACGCGTGTGGTGTGGTTGGCTAGACATGCCTACTAATTCGGTCCAAATTTTAATTAATTCATAAAAAATCAATTAGGCATCCAATTAAGTCAAATTTAGTTTCAGATTGCATTGTCTTCATGTCTTGACCCACGTGCCAACTGTGAATCGTGTCGGTCAAGTAGAACTGTCCGAATTTTCACTCCTGCGTTTCCGTCTAGACTGACGACAGACTGACGAGGAAGTGAGTTAAATAAAAGCTTGTAATAATAATAAGATTTCAATGAACTGACTGAAATTGCAAGCATCACAGTAACGAATGTTGCAGTTGGTCCCATTGATGTAAGTGTAGCACCAAGGTCCTCTACGGCCGTCGGGATTACGACATTGGTTGCCGGATAAAATGTTTGCCATCTGGTCAGCCCTGTGAATAAAAAAAAATTAGGAAATAATGTACAGCCCATTCACTTAATTACTATATGGTAAAGGGTAATTATTACTCCATATTGTAACTTCCTAATGGCTTTTCAAATAATATGATGTGTATAAAGTTTGTTAAAAAAGTGAGTGTAAATTTTATCATGTTGGTACGAAGCTTTAAACAAAAAATTTGGAAAGTTGAGTTAAAGGATTTCTTTAACCAAAGTAAATATACACACGACTATTGTGTGACAACTAACTGTAGCAAAGTACTGGTGTCGCTATCGGTCGTTATTCCCAAAATTATCATGTTCATTTGGTGCGCAGTATTTTTAGTCATAAAAACACGATTGTAGTAAAAATGTTAAAGTACTGAAAACAGAGTGCATACAAACATTTCAATAACAAGCTTTTAAATGAAAATAATGATTTTCTTTAAATTTATATTAATACACTAATATTAAAATAACTTTTTAAAAAGTGGGTCTCTTCCTAAATATTAGTTAAGGTATCTAATAGATAATATAGTGACCCACTCTTTTTCTTATAGTTATTTAAATAGTAGTTTATTATTATATATTTAATGAAAATAATTAATATCCTCCTTTTTAGTACATTATTACATAAAAAGCTTGCTATTAAAACATTTTTATGCATTAAAAAATAATAATTGACACTGTATAGACAAAAAGCAACATATTCCGAGCAAAATAACCCCGACATACTTGGGAAAGTTTGAGCAGTTGACAGCCTTTGACCACTCTATACAGGGTTCGTATGTTTCAGAAATGGCAGTTTTTCCTCGGTAGTCGGCGCCATTTGTTGCAGAATTATAGCAGTAGTCTTCGGCTGTGGACACAAAGTCATAATCTATCAGGATTCTGATGTAAAGTATATAGCTATTATTCATCAGTAGCCTAGTTACTGAATTAATTTTCTTTTCTTTAAAAAAAATAAGTAGACTATTCCCTTCTATCTTATGATTGAAAGAAATAGGCGTATAATATTTTTTTAAATTAATTATGGTGCATGTATTTACGTTTGGGTTAACTTTGAGGGTTTTTCAATGAAAAAAGCGATACATTATATGTTTAATAAAAATATGTTTGTGTATGGCCAATAAAATTCCTCTTGCTCCTTGCACCTCATTTTTTGCATGTACAAAAATGATTTAAATATTGGCTTTAATTATGAAGGTAATTGAAACCCATGATAGATATTAAAATTAAGCCAGCTTACGTAAAATAACTTGTGCTGTAAAATTGACACCGTAGTTGGTGGTAGTACTGTATCCCATAAAGGCCTCAGCAGAGAAGTAGTTCGACTCACTCAGAATTTGTGCTGGATAATTCGCGTTATCTAATCTACAAATTGGTTCAAAATTACATTGAACTAGTTTAACATGACCTTTTAATCAATTAATAATAATAGTTTATTTTGTTTGCTTGTTCTTCCTCTGTACTATTTTTTATATTTTAAAAATTATACTTTTATGTCTATTACCATAGTGCGCGTAACTACTTTGAATTAACTGCAAGATAAAAAATATTTAGTTGTGTAAATTATATTTTTTATACATAATAGAAAAACCGGATTGATTTAGTTGATTCTTACTTGAAGGCCACTTGCCATGGATGATATTTTTTTACAAAAAAGTCATCCATCGTTGTAGATAAACTATATCTGTTGAAGGTGATCAGGATCTGCGAGTTGGGCGGTGACTGTGGAAGAAACAAAATCCACGAATCAATATATAGAATTATTTTTAACATTAACACGAAACCCCTCTAAACATTGAGGAATAAATACATCACTTATTTAGATAATGAAAGTATCAGAAAGAAACACTTGTTTATTTTCCATCGAACTTGTAGCGTTATTAAGTTTTATATTAATAACATTTAATAGCCCATCTTTTTTTGTATAAAGAATTCTCCCGGCAATCGCACAGAACTTAAAAAAAATATATCTTAGAGTTGTTCAACTTCTTCTTCTTCGTTATTAATTTTAGTGTTGGGAAGGATCCCCTCCAACACAATTAAGGATACGTGTCAACTGGTTATGCGCCATTGAGGCCATTGACTCCGATTTCAGCCTGCTTTCTTTTTGGATTTGCTTCCACAGCCTTTGTCCAACCAAGAACTAACTACAAGGCAGCAGTTGTTTGATTTTGGAGTTGTCTCTCCTAGAAGAGTGGCTGTCCCCAGCTAACGACCTTGAGACTTTTCGGTTTAGCAACCATGAGCTTTTACCGACTTGACTGCGCCGACCCCGTTGCTCAACTAATATTAATAATGTACGTTAATTTAAATGAAAGAACATAGTCAGTCGATGTTTCGTTGTGTGGTATAAGTCTTATGTAAAATAAATAAAAGTGAAACATCTAAAAACCATCAACATTGGAAGTCATCTTTTAAGAACGAAGAAGAAGAAATAAAAAGGAAGTCATCTTACACTGAAAGCGTAGAAGCATCGCCTGTTTGGCTCCCTGTAGCCTGTAGGTAGAAACGGAGTCCTGATGGTCACAGAACGGTTGTTGGCGTCCAAGGTTACCAGCTCATTACATCCTTTAATAAGCAGTTATTTCCCATTTTTAGAATCAATCTCATAGCTTAAATTTATATGGGATGTGTAAAAACAGTGCGTTTCTTTTGAATAAAAAAAAAGTTTTTTTAAAGTAGATTTTGAGGATAATAACATGTTCGTGCTGTTTTATCTAACCTGCCTTATAGATAAGCTTGATCTTTCATATAAAAATGCAGAAATTGTAAATAAAATGTAAAAATGTTTTACCATAGATACCGGGCTGGTAGTAGCAGGAGTAGGTGGTGAGGGAGGTCGAGAACCACCAGAAGGGGGAGTCAGCGGGTCCAAACACACCACTGTTGGTGGTCCACAGGTTCAGCCTTGAGTTGTACGCCTTAAGACCTAGGTCACAAAATAAAGTATACGTGTGTATGTATGCATGTGTGTATGTGTATTTAATTTGCATTTGCATAAATTTATTTAGTGAACATATGTCATTGATATATGTATACCTTGCATTACTGAAAGATTTTTAAATATTGGAAACGGTACCTCACCTTCAAAGAGGTGAAGCAGACGAAGAATTTAAAAAAAGTATTTTTCAGTGTATTACGTTCTATGTCTTAAGGTGAGGCATACAGATTTATTAGGCTATAAAACATAACATACACAATTGACTATACAAAACTAAGTATAACAGAATAGTAATATACAGAAGTAGTCAATGTAGCGCTGTAATTAACTCTTATATACATTAGCAACAAGGATGGGGATAAAATGCCTTATCAACAACACCTGCTACTCCTTCGACTCACTACACCCAAAATCTTCTTCTTTGAGGCAATTGACTCCGATTTCAGCCTGCTTTTCTTTTTGGATTTGCTTCCATAGCCTTTGTCCAACCAAGAACAAACTACAAGGCAGTAGTTGTTTGATTTTGGAGTTTTCTATCCTAGAAAAGTGTCTGTTTAACACGAAATGAAATTACACAGCGTTGTCTCTCCATAACAAGATTCGAATCTAGACCAAAGTTAAGGCTATACTACTTTCGGAGACCTGGAGTGTTACCATGGAAAATATAGATACGCTTCAGTCGTTTACAGATGTTTACGACATCCTTAAGATAAGATGGTCAGACAAAGTGACGGATAAAGACTTGTGACAAACACCTAACAACAGCCATTTGAAAAGGACATAAAAACCAAAAATGGGGATGGTTGGGACGAGCATATCTTGAAAATGGGAGAGGAAAACATCGCGAGGCAGTAGTTAGACAGGAATCCACAAGAGAATAGGCAAGTAGACAGGGCAAGGAAATCCTGGAGAAAAACAGTAGTAGGAGAGGCAAGGGCTGACTGGCTAACATGAGCGCAGATAAAGAGAGCAGCTCTAAAACCAAGTCCGATGGCCGCAGTGCTTTGTTCCACATAAAGAAAGGAACAAGAAGACATTTGCAATTAAAACAAATACAAGGCTCCGGTTAGCGTATGGTTACTATTATATATACTTTTCTGAATTAATTATTAATTATCTTTACCTCTGATAGATGGACAGGTGTTTCTAGTCAACAGTCTGAAAGGCTCGCCGTCAGGTAAGTCGATGGCGATGTTTGAAAACTCTTGGTACCTGCAGCAGGCCTTGATGCTCACGTTATTGGAGGAGATGGTGATGTCACCGATTGAACCGTTGGTGGAAACACTGGCAGTGGAAACGGCATAACCTCCCGCTTCGGTGAAAGCTGTAGATTAAATTTATTTATCGTTATACATTATTATACGTCTTTATGTTTATTTATATATACACTTATATAAGTTATTAGTTTATTTCTAAACAAAAGAGGTTACATATATATTTTTATGTTTGGTTTTGCAAAAAGTGTATGTTTATACGTATATATATATATATATATATATATATATATATATATATATATATATATATATATATATATATATATATATATATTTATATAATGTTCACTAAATGTGTTGTTTAATAAAAACCTACCTCCCGCACAGTTTACACCTGCAGGTTTAATGAAACAGTATTGACCGCCAGGTGGCCAGGACTCCCAGTCAGCTGTGGCTCCTGCAGGTAAGTTTCTGGTGCAGACGGGAAAACTGTTTGTTTTTCCAGACACGGGGTACTGGACAGGAGCGGCCGGGGACTGGCTCATGGCACTGGAGCCAGTGAAGGAGAACCAGCCAGGTGTGGGATCGAATCCTGTTGGGCAGCTGTGCGAGGGTCCTCCAGCGAAGACGACGATGGGTGTTTTAGGCCATTGAACGAGTGGCGAAGCTGTTAGTATTTATTTTTTTAAAATTAATAAACCCTGAAACTAATTCTTATTATAGTTTAAATTGTTTTTATTTAAAATTTAACAATCAAGACTAGAATGGCTTTAAATGAAAGAATTAACTGTAAATTATTTAAAGCTGTACTACATGTATAGTTATAAGCCTTCTATAAACGTTGAGTGGTTTAGTTTAGATCTAAATGTAGCCTTAAACAATTAGAACGTACGTCCATTTTTCAGTGTCTTGCAGTTTGTAGCAACGTCGTATTCATCCGGGCACACACATCGGCAGACGCCTTTCACATACGAGTAATATCCGGGGGCGCAGTCGACCGTGTTTCCCCCACAATATCTTTCTGTGTGTTTTAAGATACAAACTCATACAACATTCATATTTTCACAATGGATATTCAAAATTATATCTTTTACTTAAGCTTTTATTTAACTTGCTTTATTTTTCTTTTTATCATCATAGATTGAAACGGCCAAGGTATTCTTAGTGAACAATTCGTTTCGAAGTGAGCAAGTACTATATTGCCTAATAGTAGTATAGGGCAGCCTAGTAATTTTAGAAAAATTAAACTCGTAAAAAAATTAATTAGCTATCCAATTAAGTCAAATGCAATGTCTTATTGTGTGTTTAATTTTTGACCTATGTGCCGAATTTCAGAGAAATTAATCGATAAGAAATGCTTGAAATTTCGCTCGCCCTTTTCCATCTATGACGAGAGACTGTCTAAAAAAGATGTAAAAAGATGTTTCATTTTATTAGTCTTAAGCTATGAGATTAATTCCTTTTAAAGCAGAGCTTCTTCCATGCATCTCTTCGGTGGGGAGGGGGGGGGGAGTTAAAATATACTGTATTAATAAGTTTGGCGAAGGTAGGGTTTTTTAAATTTAAATGTTATACTATTAAACACATAATGCATATATATAGGCCTATATATATATATATATATATATATATATATATATATATATATATATATATATATATATATATGTGTGTATATATATGTATGTATGTATGTATATATATATATATATATATATATATATATATATATATATATATATATATATATATATATGTGTGTGTGTGTGTGTGTGTGTGTGTGTGTATGCATAAGCATATCAGCTCTATCATAGTTTAAGATGAGCAATTAAAATAGATATTGTTTTTGTAAAAGCTAGTATATCTAAGTGAGCATTGGTACTATAAAAATAGAACCTTACCGGTACATTTCAGTACTTGAACAAGCTCGAGAAAGTTGACAGAGTCCGCTGACACCGAGGTGATAGTGTTAAAAAGATCGTCCCTGATTGGCGTGTACGCTTCATTGCCGTTCCTCGTCCAAGTCTTTGAGTAAATCAAAGCTATCAGTTTTTTTGTTATATTGTGAAAATGTTGGCTCCTATGATTAATACGTTGATGAGCAGCACAAGCCCTTAATGGTTAAAATTTAATAAAAATATACAGAATGATCAATAGTTTGAAATTTTTCAATAGTTCCAATCTTGGATAGCCCATAAACGACGTCACATTCCATAGCGAGTGTTGTCATTTCGGACGTGGAGAGAGGTTTCAGAAAAGGTGACAACGCACATTCGCATTTTTAACAATTTTTAAAATGTTTTAGCAGTAGTGGTTGTTTTTGTAAGATATAATGATGGTAATTGTGGAGGCAAAATAGTCCCAAAAAACGTGACATCTATATGGTTGATCACCAATAAGATTTCTATCTAAATGATAAATAATCTATAGCATCATCGTCGCCTAGGGACACTAAGTCTCCAGGCAATTCGTTAGACTTACCCTAGCACCATACATTAGGGCCGAGGATGGGTCAAAGAATAAGTTGACAAATTGAGATGATTCGGGAAACATGTCATAGCTGTAGATAAGACCTGTGAAAAATAACACAATCAAGTTTTATATATATATATATATATATATATATATATATATATATATATATATATATATATATAACGTTTAGACAATGTATACATTAATATGTTTATATAAATCATTCATGGACCTCTTCAAATATATTTAAAGATTGAATTGAAATTAAATTTGAATTCTTTACACGTATTATCCATTAGTTATTAAAACAAAAATATAATCATCTAAATTTTGAATTAAAACAACATTAAAATAAATTAAAATAAAATATGTTGAAAAATATCCCAGGAGACTTACTGCTTTGAATATCATCTACGTTAATTGTGATGTAATTTTCCCGGAGAAAGCCTTGATGTGCATGGGCGACACCTAACGTATGCATCATCTCGTGAAAATTTATCACCTGCAGTAAAAAAAAAATCCAAATGATGAACTTGAAATATCGATGACAAATGCTACTTCAAAATTGGCAAATTAAAATAGAAATTACTATATTTTTTTTTGTTTTTACTTGTCAAATGTTTTAAATTTTTCTCAAGATCAAGAAATGTATAAAAATTTATAAAAAAATCTCATACATATTAATTAATAAATTTATGTACATTATATATTTATTAATGTATATAAATTTTATATATATATATATATATATATATATATATATACACTTATATATATATATATATATATATATATATATATATATATATATATATATATATATATATAAATAAGTGTATATATATATATATATATATATATATATATATATATATATATATATGTATATATATATATATATATATATATATATATATATATATATATATATATATATATATATATTTAAAGAAAGAGCGAGAGATATAGATAGAGATAAAAAGACAGTCAGAGTGGGAGAGAGAGAGACAAAGAAAGCCGCAAACTAAGAAAATAAATAGCTGTCAGGCAAATGTCATTTTTTGTTTTGTGAGCTTGGTGAGTATTGTAAAAAAAAAACTCAGTTGATATGGAAAATGAAACAATCCAATGAATTGGCATATCAAAGACAATCATACAGGAAGCTGCCTCAGTGTGGAGAATGCGAGGGAGGTGAAGACATAAAGTGATGGAGGAAATCAAGGAATGGACTGGGCTGCCTGATGTAGACATGCTAAAATTAGCAGGGGAATGATAATGATTGCAAACTATTATGAAAAATTCAAAAGTAATGTAGTAAAGCTGATATCTAAAATTTAAATATTATATTTAATTTTTAAATATAATATTTTTAAAGAATTTTTAAAAATTAAAAATATTTTTTTAGTTAGCTGTAACAACTTACGAAATCCTGGCAAGGGTAGACAATTCTGGGTGAATTTCCAACACCACTTCCTGGTCCACTGAACGCTGAACACCTGCAGGGTTAACCAATCAGATTGCTTGTTTTAAAAAAAATCTTTTTACGTGTTTTGAAATAATTGGATATTACAAACTGTATCGAAATGATTTACTTGATTAAAGAAACTTATTGCATTATACGAGTTAATTTTTTTGTTGTATTATCCAGCATGAAGAAAAACTTTTATACTGAGATTTTCTTTTCAAAAATATCAAACCGTCAAAATTTTAAAATTAATTTTTATATTTTGTATGCAATAAAAAGATCGTGCATATTAACTTTTAATTAGCAACTACACTTGTATAATGTCTAATTAATTAGACCTCATTATGATAGTTATCTCACCCTGTGCTGGCCCGGACTGAAATGTAGGTGTCATAGGTGTAACCGTTTTTGGTGAACCACTTGGGGTCGCTAGAGTTCCATCTGCTGGTTTCATCAACAAATGTCAGGCAAACATTGTCCATGATGTACTGTAGAGATCTCTTTAACAGCGTCATGTAGTAAGGACCTGGGAGTATTATTTTAAATGTCGTACAGTAATTGCTTGAAAATTAAATATTATATCTAATATAGTGTAGTTTATATAGGTTAAAAATTAAACATTTGTTTTTATGTTGTGTTTTAGAGCATGGACAAAACTTGATTTGCGATGAAATCACTGTTTTTCTTTTAATTTTAGTTAGAAGATGGGTAATCGAAGCGCTGTTAAAACAAAACGTATCGCATTATTGCTTCCTTTTCATGTAAAATAAATACGGTAAATGGTTGTACCATATAGCCAAAGAAATACGGAGCGAATTACATACATTTAAACAACCTGGATAATATACGTTCAAAATTAACACTAAAACGATTGTATTCAGTGTTTTCATTTAAATACTTAACACCTCAAAGTTTACACAGTGGACATTTTCCTGACTCTACTATTATTTTTACCGTATGCCTGGTATGTCGGGTGGATAACGTAGGGAATTCTGTCCACCCAGTTGACAGTGTAGTTGTGGACCGCTCGCTTTTTCCTTGTGAAGTCCCAAACGATTTCTTTTGCTCCCTCATCTTGGTCTTGAGTTGGTGCTTGTGGACTAAATAGCGTAGAGCAAATCAGTGGGATAATTTAATGCTTTATCAGTGTTTCTTCCAGACTTTTTTCTCCGGGGGGGCACTTGAAATTTTCGGGGGGGGGGGGGGGGGCGGTAGACTTTCTTCGGGGGGGGGGGGGGGGCGGACACTGTTAAAAGTATATATTTTCAATATAAATTATATAAATTTCATTTCGTTCGGGGGGGGGGGGGGCGGTAAAAAATTTTCTGTGGGGCTTTGCCCCCCCCCCCCCGAAAAGTTGCCTGGAAGAAACTCTGTGCTTTATTACTAATCTTCCATAAACATACTTGTGTTCTAATCAATAATACAGAAACATTGGTAATTTTTACACTGAGCTAATTCTTGATCCTAAAATTAAATGTAAACACTCGTCAATAAAACTAAAATCAGAATTCTGATCTTGACTCGATACGTAACATTAAACAATAAAGCGACATTTTTACTTTCTTGTAAAAGAAGTATTAATGAAGTATTGTGATCGTGCAAAAAGAAAATCGAGATTTTTACGTTTTACACCTTCCTGAGTAGGAGAAACATAGTTTTGCAATTTTTATCTGTATGTCTGTTTATGTGTGTATATATGTGTGTAGATAATTGTGTATGTGTTTCTGTGAACACGATAACTTGAGTACCGCTACAGCTAGGTAGATGAAATTTCATATGCAAGAAATATATCAAATTTGTAGTTCTGTATCAACTTTTCAGCAATTTCTGGTAACTGTAAGTGTAAGTTATTCTAATTTATAAATTTTTAAAAGCCTATAACTTGAGTACTGTTTCAAATAGATAATTTGAAATTTCACATGTAAGTAAAAGATCTACTTATCCGCCTTTTTAAAAACTTTGAGTAATTTCCGTTGACCGGAAGTAGTAAATTACGTTCCGGTTTCCGATAATATTCCGCACTATTATGCACATATTGTTAGGCGTTCACTTGGTGCGCAATTCTTTTTTCTACGAGATTCGATTATATTTTAGAAAGTTTAAGTTTTTAAAATATATTAAAAAATTCATAAAAAACGTTTTAATAACAAGCCTTTATGTAATAATGCACTAAAAAGTAGAAAATAAAGTATAGACTACTATTTAAATAACTAGAAAGATAAGCGTGGGTCACTTTAGTATCTATTGGATACCTACACTAATGTTTAGGAAGACACCCACGCTTTTCTTTCAAGTTATTTAAATAGTAGTCTATAATTTATTTTCTACTTTTTAGTGCATTATTACATAAAGGCTTGTTATTAAAACGTTTTTTATGAATTTTTTTGTCAGTACTTTACATGTTTTATTTACAATAGAGTTACATGACTAAAAACCATTGTGCGCCTACTGAACATCACGTTCAGTAGGCGCGCAATGGGTTTTGAACGCAGCCATTGAACGTGATGGCGCAGCTATTGAAGGTGATGACGCGTGTGGTGTGGTTGGATAGACATGCCTACTAATTCGGTCCAAATTTTAATTAATTCATAAAAAAATTAATTAGGCATCCAATTAAGTCAAATTTAGTTTCAAATTGCATTGTCTTCATGTCTTGAACCACGTGCCAAATGTGAATCGTATCGGTCAAGTAGAAGTTTCCGAATTTTCACTCCTGCGTTTCGGTCTAGACTGACGACTGACGACTGACGAGGAAGTGAGTTAAATAAAAGCTTGTAATAAATTATAGACTACTATTTAAATAACTATAAAGAAAAGCGTGGGTCACCTTAGTATCTATTGGATACCTTTACTAATGTTAAGGAAGACACCCACGCTTTTCTTTATAGTTATTTAAATAGTAGTCTATAATTTATTTTCTACTTTTTAGTGCATTATTACATAAAAGCTTGTTATTAAAACGTTTTTTATGAATTTTTTTTCAGTACTTTACATGTTTTATTTACAATAGAGTTACATGACTAAAAACCATTGCGCGCCTACTGAACATCACGTTCAGTAGGCGCGCAATGGTTTTTGAACGCAGCCATTGAACGTGATGGCGCAGCTATTGAAGGTGATGACGCGTGTGGTGTGGTTGGATAGACATGCCTACTAATTCGGTCCAAATTTTAATTAATTCATAAAAAATTAATTAGGCATCCAATTAAGTCAAATTTAGTTTCAGATTGCATTGTCTTCATGTCTTGACCCACGTGCCAAATGTGAATCGTATCGGTCAAGTAGAAGTTTCCGAATTTTCACTCCAGCGTTTCGATCTAGACTGACGACTGACGACAGACTGACGAGGAAGTGAGTTGAATAAAAGCTTGTAAAAATCATGTCTATATACCGTTTTGCCACCTCCCGTAGTGTTATATAAGAACAATCGATAAAGTTTAGGGGAGATCACTCCCGGTTTATGTTTTTTTTTTGTTTTTAAAATACGAAATTTAAAGTAACTATTAAATACCAGTTGCTCTATTAAATACAATATCATACTGACGTTTATACTTGAACTACATTTTGTATTTGTACGAAAACGTTAAGCTAACCTTTTTTCTTGCCAAATAAATAAAACCAATACATTTTTTAACTTTTTAAAAATCTAAAATCAAATCTACTAATGTTTTCAAGCAATTTTCTATCTTTAAACACCTTCCACTAAATCAGTATGCCACTATACTAAAACCACGAAAACCTTTTTTTTTCAATAAGTAACCGTTGTTTTGAGACAATGTCTTCCACAGCAAAGACCCAGCTGTATACATACGCGGATGGTGTTGCCAGTTCCTGCACGGCGTGCAGATGTTTTCTGTCCACCTCCCTCTTAATGATGACGTTCTGGGAATATTCATTGTCCCCCTCTTCGTACACCCGGGCGGTTATCATCTGTAGAATAGACACAATTGTTTGTCTGGTGTAAAATCGTTGTTCTAGAAAAACTAACAGCAATTATTTCCAAGAAGCCAAGAGCAAAACAAAGAAGGTATGAAGTCTAGAAAATAACCAATCGAACTAGTAAAAACTTCTTAAACCCCCATATATATATATATATATATATATATATATATATATATATATATATATATATATATATATGTATATATATATATATATATATATATATATATATATGATATATAAAGCAAAGTGGTCAAGTGCCCGTTAGGGCACTTCCCGGTACCGCAGGCGCGTCAAATTTGGCACGATGGTGCCTTCGGGCGAAAGAACACGAAGGCTGGTGACGGTTGGCCGAAAAGTCTACGGAGAAGGGGTCAAAACTGACCTCGACTGATCGGCGCCTTATATGGGCTATATTACGAAAAAAAAACGCCTTGGGGTGTCACAAAAAACTCGGCATATCTGGGAAAACTTCGTAAAGGGGTCAAAACTGACCAGTTGTATTTCCCTATATAATTTTTGTATTTTATGGGAAAAACAGAGGGTCATTTCAACGCAGACTTTAGGGTACTTAAACTCAGTATATCTGGCTAATTTTTTGCAAACTCTTAGGTCAATGGCTT